AAGCCTGCTGAGGGCTCCCGTCGTAGGTGGAAGGGGCTCCGGCTTTCAATTCTGGGGTGGTGGACATTCTGAGCGTCTGGTCGAGTAATGCCTTCTTCTTCAGGGGAACGTTATCGTTCTCTCACTGAGTCTGGTTAACCTCTCTTGAGGGAGAGGGTCGTCTGGGTTTCTGGTTAACCTCCTTGATGGGGAGGGTCATCTGGTGACTTTAATCTTTTGTTACGGCGAACTGTAGGTCGACTAGGATAGGCGCGACAATAGACACTCGATAAGAGTGACGTCTAGAGCCGGATCGTAACCTCACAAATGTAAGGCTTCTGTAAGACAAATCAGAGAGAGTGTCTCTGATTTGAATATCGATATCAGACACTTAAGATTGGGGATCTTAAGCGAAGGATGTTCTGGGTAAAACCTAGTAGATTAAAGTGAAGACTATCTAAGTACAAGACCGGCTTATATAGGTAAGGCCTGCTTTAGGGCCGGTACGTACACGTCATCGAGACGAGTCAGAGATAAGAGGAATGACGTCATCGAGACGAGTCAGAGATAAGAGGAATGACGTCATCGAGACGAGTCATAGATAAGAAAGAAGATGAGTCACCTAACGACGGCAGCGGCGATCGCGGTGTAATACAGATATAGAAAGCGCAGTCTACTGATGGCGCAACGTGGCGCGGTCATGACATAATACACAGGTAAAGAGAAAGAAAGAAATAGGGGGCAACCGTGACTGTAACACACATGAGCTAATTGACAGGTGGGATATGAAGCAGTAAGTGAAGTAGGGAAATTATTGAGGAGAGAAGGAGGAGATGGTGTCAAGAAGGAAGAATACAATGACATTGGAAATCTTGCATGATGGATTGGACATGAGTAAGTGCAATGGGAGTAGCAGCAGCAGCAGAAATGAAAAGGGGGAGAATGGATTTGATTTGACGCCAGTAATCTAAAAAGGCTCTCGACTTCCAGCAACCTTGTGTGGCCACAATGTCAGGATGTACTCCTTCAAGGAGTAACTCTGTTGCTCTGCCAATATGGAAGGCATGACCTGGTATGTTGGGATGTCCAGCGTCGACCCATATCTTGTTGCAATGATCCATGAACCATGTTTTGGTCATGGGGGCCCAGGAACCACCTGCTGTTTCAAAGGAGGACAATGGAGTGATTGACATACATTGTGGGAGTCATGAGTGATGATTGGAAGGATCAAACGGGAGACATGTTTGACAGCATCAAAGGTGTTGGGACTGGGAATGATGAGTTTGCCAAGACTAGTGAGGGTGTGAGGATCGATGTGGAAGAGAGAGGGATTAGTCATACCAACAACAACACCAGAAGGTGATGCAAGCAATTGCAAAAACTGCAATGTCAAAAGAATTTGAGAGATTGAGACCTTGACCTAGTTGAATAAGGGTGTCAAGTGTTACTGGAGGTCATTGAGCTTGTTTTGAGTTGGATGGAACAAGACAGGTGAGGCTGCATTTTATGTGATGCAGGAGGGCTGAGTCTGACCCATTCCATGTGGCTCCATTGATTGTGTGCCAGAAGTACAAACCAGCAAGCCAGTTGCTGGCAGTACTGTCTGAGATTGATCCAGCAGAGTCTGCAATGAACACTGATAGCAGAGCAGCTGAGGCTGGCATATGCTGTTTCAGGGATGAGATGTTGATCGCAGTATTGGGTGAAACAAAGTAGACCCGCACTGTAATTACTCTGTATGTTCTTGTCAAGGGATTGGATGTTATGAACTCAGATAGAGTGTTGTTCCAATAAAGGAATCAAGGATCAAGGTCGATCAAGGACTAAGCCTTATTGAGTCAATGCCTCCCTCAGGAGCAATCATCTAGACTCCCACAGGATCTAGAGTTCAAAATGGGACAAATGGCTAGCCTCCTTCCCAAGGAGCTAGAGTTCAAGTATCAGAGAGAACCGAGTAGATTCAAGTTAGAGAAAATACAAGTGGTAACTAGAGTTTATATACATAAGGAATCGTGCACAGACCAAGCTGGGCAAAGGGTAACTAGTACTAGAAATGGAAGGTTCATGGGAAAGCAAGGTATGAGTCAGAGATAAGAGAGACCATGAGGAAACAGCACAGTGAAAAGGAAGTGTTAGAAGTACAGCCATATAGGAGTCCACAGTGATGATGGGAAAAAGAGTGGGGCACTGTAACATTGGATAGTGATGAAGAACATCTTCAAGATGTCTGATTCTGGGAATAGCTGTTCTAGTTCGTGCTGAAAGTTGAAGCCATGGGGAGTAGTCCATAGAAGGACACGTTCACTGGTGAGGATGTGGGGACAGTGAGAGGAGGGAGTAATAAGAGTGTCTTTGTGGGGTTTGCATGGAATAAGAATGTGTCCATCTGGATGAGCCATGGCTGCTTCACAGATTTCAGTGGAGTCAAGACAGGTGTCTACATTGGAATCATCCATGAGGTGCTCACTCTTCGGGAGTGAGTTTGTCAGGGATGGGTATTCAGAAGGGAAGACAGGTGGAGAAATTTTGCAGGATGCCATGGGAGATGGGATCAGTGAGGTTGATACTGGTGTTGACATATATGAGCGAAATAGAGAGATCCGCTGTTCGCAGGATGGCCTCTGTGCATCTGATGCATGTGTTGGATGTGAGATTGGAACAACAGCCTTTGCAAAAGGCACCGATAGCACCCTCATTATTGCTGCAGATGAGGAAATCAGCATTAGAGATGCCAAAGTGGAGGTGACAGTGACGGTGAACTCAATCGTGATGGTTTCAAGCCATCCAATGTTGTGTCTGATCAGATCACACCAGCCTTTTTGGGTGTACCAGATTTCCCAAAGACTGTTCCAGCAGAGACCAATACCTGTTCCAGTGGAAGCATCTACCTAGATATTGTAGTCTCAGGTGGGGGGTCTCAGAGTGAGTGAGCAAGGGGGGTGATTGTGCTCAAGAACATTAAGCCACCATTTGAGGTCAGATATGACACATCTCCACATATAGTGAGGGATGTAGTCAGCAGGAAATTCTGTGATCCAATGGTATAGACTGGAGAGGTATGAATGACCATGTAAGAGGATGAAGGTGCAGTGAGTAAGGGTACTGCTGATCTTTTTAGCCTCTTTTTTGGGAACTTGCTTATGAGTATAGACTTGTAGGAAGGAACGGAGACGATGGATGTATTTGAGCCATTTGAGTTCTGGGAGGGAAACAGTGCAGTCAGGAAAATTGAAGGTGTACCCAACATAGTCCTGGATATCAACAAAGTCAGCACCCTGGTTTTCATGCCATGGTATGTTGATGGGACCAACATAGTCCTTAGCAGACTGGATATCATAGCGATAATGGAATGTTCGACCATTGGAGACTGCAATGAAGGGACCATCTGGATCTGGGATTTGAACAATGAGAAAGTTGTCGACCAATTTCCATGTAGGACTGATATTGGCATGGTCCCAAATGTCAACTGTGGCATTTGTGACTTTGCCTTGGAGACCAGCTGTAGAGGAGGCACTGAAAGGGAGGTTATGATTGATATAAAAGTTATCATGGAAATGCACCACTAAGTAGCACTTGTGATTGGGAAGGATTGGAATGGTGCAATAGGCACCTTCGATGTCCAAGGATGCAGCTTGAGTCCCTGGAGGGGCAGTTGTGACCTGTGAAAGGATGGAAGTAAGCAGGAGTGCTTGGAAGGGGATAGAGATTGAATATCCTGGGGTGGAGACTTGTATCATGAATGAACAAGTATGAGAGGTGCGATCCTGGCATTCCAAATGGTACACTCCTCAAGCAGTGTAGTGTTACAGCTGTGAGGTTGTGTATTGCATAGAAGTGGGAAGGAAGGAGCATGAAAGGGAGAAGAAGGAGGGGTACCTACAAAGGAGGCAACTTGTGCTGCAGTTCCCCAGTGAGTGGGAAAGTCTTTGGAGTCAATTTCATCATTGATTGAATGACCAGGAGTGCCCTTGTAGGAGAGATTACGACAGACACAATATTTGTTAGGCTGACCTGGAGTGCCTTCCTTGACTGCAACTTGGAGGGGTGACAAACAGAAAGGGCCAGAGAATCAACCCAGGGATAGCTCCAACTCAATGTATTCTTTGATGACATCTTCATGCTTGACAGCACTGGGTAGATTGGGGGGAGTATATGTGGAGAGAATGGGTTGTAGATGACCCAAGGGGAAGCCATGTTTGATTTTGAATATGAGTTCTGGGTAGTCATCAAGAAGATTAGCGTTACATAGAAAGACTTCAAGATTGTCAGCTGAGTATGGGGTAATGATTTTGGAAAAATCTAAGTCTGCATCATATGGGGTGTGTGGAATACTAAGGTGATCAAGATATACATGGTGAGGCACTGCAATGTTTGGTATAGGGTCCATGGCCCATGGCAAGAAAGGAATCTGGGACGAATCAGGCCCCCAGACATTTGTGGCTGCAGGCACCATGTTCTGTGGAGCTGCAGAGTGAGCAGGTGTGGATCTTGCCTCCTTTGTGGGTGCACTTGACACAGGTGCATTTCCCATTGCAATAGATGTTGAAGTCAACACAGTACTTGGTATCAGCATTGTTGCAGGAGATGAGTTGCTTGTTGGTGACTTTCGAGTGTGATGTTGAACTTGTTGACAATGTGTTGGGACAACTAGGGAAGGTGTGTCTGAGTTGACCACAGATAAGACAGAGGGGAGGTAAGCATTCATTGGACTCGTTGGATTTGTTGGGGTTATGAAAGGACTTCTCAGATGATTGGGGTTTCTGAAAGGATGGGTCTCAGGAAGGGTAAGGTTTGTGTCTGTGACTTTTGAGTTTGGCCACTGCCTCACTGATGGCTTTGAGAGATTTGTTTCTAGCAACACAAGTCTTAATACTCTCAAGTTGTTGAAAGTACTTAGCTTCATCTAGCTTTTGGGGATCAGCTGCATATGATGCATGTTGTTCAATGTCAAAGGTGAGAATAGCCATCCAGTTCTCGGTGAAGTCAGGATGCTCTCAAAGTGTTTGATAATGATTGGCCCATCAATCATGAATCTCAGGAGAGGCATGATCTGTGAGGAAATGAAGATAATGTGCCCAAGCCTTGTGCCATTCAGAGATGCTGATGGAGGATTCTGTGGGGAATTGTGAGATATTTATGAGGTGGCATTTTGTAGGAACAGTGCCACAATGTGAGGAGTAAAAGGTAACAAATTTGAGAGTGGAGGATTCAAGGAAGAAATGTTTGGACACTTTGGTGGTGAGAAGTGAGAATGAAATGTGTTGATGGTTCCTGGCCAGGTCTAAGATGTATGTATGAATACCGTAAGAGTTGTTGATGGAGTGGTTCTGGACCATGTGCTCATTGGTAATGTCAAAGATAAGGGAGGATGAGGTACTAGTGGAAAGAGCGGGGGTGTTAGATGATGACAAGGTAGCTATGGAGGCATTGATGGAAGATTGAAGGGAGGCTTGTTTGTTGGGAGATAATTTTTGGAAGGCAGCAATCATACTAGCATAAGAGATATTTGATGTGGAAGAGGTGGGAGTATTAGGTCTGGGTGTGGAAGGATTGGAAATAGAAGGGTTAGGTAATGCAGGGATGATAGTAGTATTACTAACGATGGTGGAAGAAGAAGCCACTGGAGTGTTGTTAGTAGTGGGGTTGTGATTAGTAGGAACATTGGTGAATGTGGGGGGAACAACAATGAGGGATTTGTTGTTCTCGACATTAGTGTCACCTTGGTTATGGCGTGTTTGATGTGCTTGATTGTGTGCTGTGATAGCAATGTTTTCAGCAATGATTTGATCACATGAAAAGGTGGATCTGCCCATGAGGGGAGTGGAGTTGGTCATTTTTTCGAGGTAAGTGGGCGTAGAGACAATAAAATATGGACAAAAGTTGTGTCAAGTGCCAAAAGGTGATGGTATGAGATGAAAAGGATTCAGAAAGACTTACATGAAGGAAAAGGCTTATCTATATGTCAGCGCATGGGCCTAGCACTTTGGAAGTGCAGAAAGTGTCAAAACTGCGTGGTGGCTTACAAAGCCCCTGATCAATGCCATATGCTTGCAAGCTCACATGTTGCATTGATCGTCCATCTATCCACAGATTCCACACCAGTCAAAAAACCTCTGAGTCATGCATATGATGGTATCTAAACTCCATTCTGCCAACTGCACCTATTCAACAATCTAAGGGTATCTCAGCCCAATTGCCCACCCCCCTAATATGCCCTCAACAGAACTATGGTACAAAGTAGTCATTTTTTTTTAAATTTAAATTTATGTCCTTTGCAGAGTGGCACTCTATGTAGGATAATATGTTCTAGTCTAAGGACTCCCAGTGTCCTGATCACATCTCTGGAATCGCAAGTACCCTGGTGTGAGATGTGCCCCACCAGTCCATTGTTCCCCCTGGCCATTTTAGATGTGCAGTCCATGAAGAATGAGATGACTTGATATATAATGTGCAAGGGAGATGGTTATTGGGCACAAATATAAACACATACTTGGTCGCATGTAGCAAGTGTGTACAGTAGTCATTTATTGATTCCATGTAGCCTGCCATTCGGTGTTTGGGCTTATGGCCAAGCTTGTTTTGGTTTCAGTCTTGATTCACAAGGCCCAGCCAACAAATTCCATGAGGCTTAGCCTTATATGGAATGTGTTGTTCATATGTTCTGGACCCTTGCCTCTGCTTCATACACTGCTGGAACAAACAATCATGAAATAAAAGAAGCAACCGTCACAGAATGTAGAATGTTCCTATGTAGTTTACAGGTTTCACTGCATGATATATAGCATTCAATTGATATCATGAAACACCAGTCCACCAAACAAGTAATTACAATCAGAGTGGAGCGCTCAGCACATATGTTGTCAATAAACACCAGGAAGCAATCTATATTTCACCTGCTTAGCCCAATACTTCCAATCCTCTCCCAGAGCATGCTGCAGCATCTTGTCCTCCTGTTAAGAACCATGTTGCTCAAAGGAGAGAGAGACTGACTCAGAGGGGCTTGGCCTCAGCTCATATGCTGTGCCCCTTACCTGAGTATGTGCCCTTCATTTCATATGAGGTCCAATGATGGTCCAATGAAGTCCGGAGGACTTCCAGAGGAGTGTGGGAAACATCCGGAGGAGCACGGGAGAGTTCCGGAGGAATGCAGGAAGTGCTCAGAAGAGTTCCCACTGCAAGATAATACTTCTACAGGAAACAGGATGGAAGGATAGGAGGTCTGAAGGTCCGGAGGACAGGAGGACAGGAGGGCAGGATGATGGAGGACAGAAGGACAGGAGGACAGGAGGGCAGGATGACAGAGGACAGAAGGACAGGATGTCCAGAGGTACGAAGGATAGGATGTCTGAGGGTTAGGAGGATGGAACATCTGAAGGTACAGAGGGCAGAACGTCCGAAGGACAGGATGCCTGGAGGTACAAGGGACAGGAGGTCTGGAGGTCCAGAAGGAATAGGGGCTACATCGGACTTTGTCTGATGTAGAAACAAACAGAGGTAGACTACCCTAAGGTAGAGTTGGAGAGACAAGGATTGGACCTAAGTCCAGAAAGAGGGTAAGTGCCAGAAAGGCAGAGCTCTGGCCTAGGGAATCAATCCCTAGGCCTGATGGGTAGGACAGACTTAGGTGGACCAAAGTCTGAGAGAGGATTGGGCAAGTCTAAGTTGATATTCAAACTGAGGAACTACAGGAGTATCTACAGGGGTTATATACTGAACAATATCTGAGGGGATCAGTAAGCAAAGGAACAAGGCTATGTATGAGCATGTGGAAACACATTAGTAAGTAAGTCGGAACATAAGTAAATGAACTCAGAGATGAGGACTCATACAAGGATCAATCAGCAAGACAGAAGAAGAGGTAACCGAAAGCCGGAAAGGTAGAGATGCCTAAATGGGGATAGGCGCAGGATCTTGGACAGAGGGTGAGAATAGGTCCAGAGATCTGGGGATCTGGAAGACAAGGTGGATACAGGACCAGGATATGAGGAGGTGGATATAGTCCGGAATCCAAGATGAGGTGAAGTCCGGATGTCTTGCTGGATAGAGTGCACATAGGGTGGACAGGATAGGGTGGTATGGATCAGGCTAGCAGTGAGGATCTGGAGGTCTGGAGCTCAGGGGTAAATCTGGAGTGGAGTTGATCCTGCTGAGGTGTGGAGCACACAGCAGAAGGGGATCTGGGAATGAGTTGGATATGAAGTGGGGTCTGGATGTAGGCTCAGAAGGCGTGGGAATATGATGGAACATGGGTCCAGATTGTGAGATATGACACCTCCACTGAAGAATGGTTGATGGCAGCCAAAGCACCTGTTGTGACCATGAAAAAGACCATCACTGCTAATACTTTCATGTGAGGCACTTGTAGAATTCCCGATTGCCTCATCCATGACCCTTGGCTCCCATGCATTATGACAATTCCAACATATTGGAGAAGGAAACCAGTGTAGCTTGGGTGGCAGACAATAGAGTATGGGCTGCTTGTTATGATTCTGTGCTCTTTTCTGACACTGAGCGGGAAGCTCCAGAATTTTCCCAAGGTCAACATGCAATAAAGCCTGAGTATGCTGCTGACCATGACAGAAAGACTGCCAGCAAGGAAAACAGGAGTGATTGGCATGGGGTGAAGTGTGTGCAAAAGCTGTACAGTGCTAATGCTCTATGTGTAGCTGTCGGTTTTCATGATGATAAGAAGGTAATCAGATATATTAACAAGTTGATGCTATCTGATTATACAAATAGTGGTAAAGATATTGTGCAGCTATTTGGGCTCAAAACCTGCAGGGTTTTGTGACCTGAAACACTGTTTCGAACCTGTGGGGAAGGTCCAGGATGAGCCATGATTCCCAACTATAAGGAGCCCTGCCATGCGTCAGGCACAGCATGGACTCCTGATTCGAAGGAGAAGGGTGAGATGATGCAAGCTTACCTTATTAGCATATCAATGGCATGGTATAGCAGGTGAATGGTTCCAAGGCTGGTGACTCTTGGAGGTAAGGTGCTAGTATTAGCGTGTGTTTGTGCAAATAAATGGTGAACGCTTTGCTTGACCATCTTCCCATAGATTTTATGACATTGAAAGGAACTCCTTGAAGTAAATACTCCAAGGTTCTGCCAATCTGCAGCCCATGACCCTTAAGGTTTCCTAGTCCTGCTCTTTTCACTATTCTGCTGATTCATTTCCAGAACTTGGACCTAGTTAATGGCCTCATGCCTTTCTTGTGTTTCCAGGCAAAAAGGTGATTGTTGCATGGTGGGTCATTGATTAAGAAATGATTGAGAATGGCAGATTTGGGATCTGAGAGGTTCTGTTATTGGGCCCAGTATACTCCTTCTCTGGCCGCTGCAGCCTTGGTACATGGCAGGAATATCTTGGTAATTCTGAGCTCATGTCTGTCTTTAACATCCATTTCTATGTCCAAGCACTTAACATGTATCGCCGGGTCAAAGGTCTTCATTGACTTTACCATGAGCTCTCCCATGTGACATAAGGCATAAAATGCACTCATTAAGCATGCGAATACTGCTGCATCAAGAGGTGCTGTTAAGTCTAGATGGTTCCATATATCAAGGATGAATTTTATGGTAAAGGGTTCTTGTTTGGGACATTTGGAAGAGTCTGGGATTAATTCTAACACTCTGTCTAGCAATGCTTTAAGCTCATCATGTTGAACCTTCCAGGGCTGGCCATGCAATGTATGCCAGGCCTTGATTGCATAGGTGTAGTTTGCTACCATTTTCCCTGAATATGACCCTGCACAGCTTGCCATGAAGTTCAGCATGGTCTGAGTGTTGATTGGACATTGCTGCTCTTCTGGTATGTTCCTTTTGTCACAGAACACATGAAACACCAGAAGACCTGCTCCATAACACTCTTGTCCCTGGTGCCCACAATCTATTCATCACTGCCAAGACCCTCTGCAGATCCTCTTCTGAGATGGCCAGAAAACACCCATCTGCTGCTGTGGCTACTCTGGTTTCCAGTGGAAACCAGAGTTTTAGTCTGTCCCATGCTAAGCAGTGTGGATGGAGCTGTGAGGGAATTGGTGTTAGACCTGTCTTGTATGGAAGTGGTTTGATTATGGGATCTGGTGGTAGAGATGCACTAAAGTGCATGTTGCTCTCAGGTGTGATGTTGTCTCTGGTGAATGTGGAAGAGTGAGTTGTTGATGATGCTTGTGTCTTTCTCAGCAATGTTATTGATACTGTCGTGAGAAGATTTCTTGGGGGCATCTGACTGGACTCTGTCCAAGCTGTACTCACTTGGGACTGTAGAGATGATAAATGGGTCAATGATGTACACTTTGAGCTCTCTGGGGATTGGGAGAAGCAGTAGTAGGTGCTCTGTGCTACTGTAGACTCCTCTAGATGGGTCGTCTGCAGGGTTTGCTTTACTAGTGACATATATGGGATGGAATGAATATGATGCTGTGGAATTGTCAATAAAGGTAAAGATCTGCCAAAAGACTTCATTGATAGCCATATTCCTGCTGCGTCCATTCCTCCATCCTTCGATGACCCCTTGGTTGTCCCCAAAGACCTTGAAATGTTGCTGCACTCCTCCCATGCTGACAAGGTAGAGAATGAGTAGCTTGAAGCCAACTGCTTCTGCCCACCCAATATCCCTTTTTCTGTTGAGGGTTTGCCAGCCTTTGTGAAGATGCCAGGCACACCACTTGACTCCAATGGTGATAGCAATTCTGACCCCAGAGCTGGCATCTGAATACACCTCAGGATTGAATAGAGTGAGAGGTCTGGGTATTGGGCGGCTGATGAATGAGCGCTGCAGTAGAGATTTCCACCAGAGAAGATCAGAATTGAGGCTTTTGATGGGCCTCTGTGGGATGAAAGGCTTATCAAAGGTGAGGCACAGCATAGCTTTGAGTGACGTAAGATATGTGCATCCTTTTGGGATGACAAGAGTGGTATGCAGTAACTTACTATATAGCTGCTGTACATCATTGAGCATGTGTGAGCTGTGACTCTGCCAAACCTTGATTGCTGATAGGTACTTCTTCTTCTTTTCCTCGTCCAGATAGACTTTGTCCTGTGCCAGGTCCCACATGAAGCCAATGTAAGGATTGGCATATGCAAAGTCCTTGTCTTTGAGCAGTTCCCAGGGCACATCAAGCTCATCTGAAGCATTGTCGATGTCTGACAAGTTGCAGGAGAATTTGGCATCCTCAGTCAACCTGGGCAATGATTCTGAAAGGTCCACAATTGGAAACTGACAGTCTTCATTGAATTCTTCCAGAGTTCCATCTTCAAACATGAAGCCACCAAACCATATCCTTCCCCCATCTTGCTGTTTTCCTCTACTGATAATGTCCTGGTGCCAGGGCTGTCTCTTCTCATTGTAGGTCTCAATGTACTGTTTGAGGATGCATATGAATAAGTGATCATTGACCCATCTCAATGTGGGCCTAATTCCTCACAAATGAAATAAGTCCAGTCTGGTGTCAGCAAGACACCCATATGCCCCAGCTGATGGTTGCAGGCCAAAGCACATGCACGTGTCAATGCAGAAGAGATCTTCAGATATGTGAGTGACCGATCCTGGCTATTGTGAGGGGTGAATGGGTACAGTTCAGTATGCTTCTGATATGTCCCTAATTGCAATCTGCAATCCAGGTGGAAGATGGCTGATTGTGAGCACAATGATGTGAAAGGTGCCCCATGTACTGGGAAAATTGTCTGGATTAATGTAAGAATTGATAGAAGGGTTAGGAAACTTTGGTGATGTGACATGAGGAAATGAATAGTTCTGAATGATGTGGTAGCACCCTGGACAACCCAGCTTAGGGATGATTGAGAAGGGAGATGATTGGAAGGGCCCAATGAGGTTCTTGACCTCTTTTTTTCTAAGTGGGCTGATATACCTTCCTTTCTCAAGTCCAGTCTGCACAATTGCCAGGAATTCTCACTGATATGTAATAATTGATTGCTTGTTAGGTGGTGTTTGAGTGATGCTAATACTAGGAATACCAAGATGAAAGCCTCGGTGTAGCCCTTTGGGTATGTGCAGGTACCTGTCAATGAGGCCCATTGATACCAACTTCGATGCCCAAGCATCTGGGTTGTATAGGGTAAGTGCTTCATGCCTTCTGCACTCAAGGACACACCTGAGCCCTGTGAGAGGAGGCATCACATCCAGAACAGAAGTGCCTTCAATCGTGAGTGATCTCTGAGCATCCACTGATCCACTGCCAGTCGCTGCATATGGGCTTGCCATCTTGCATGGTGAGAAGCTTGTTGATGTGGGAACAGAGGGTGTTGAATGCATTGTTCCATGTCCTATGGGCTTTGCATTCAATGATTCTGTGCAGGTTTCATCTGAGACACACAGCATAAGGAGAGAGGACTCCTCTGTTTGGGCCTGTCCAAAAATCCTGATGTGGTCTCTTCCCTCTGCCAGAGTGTTCTGGTGACGCTGACCTCCTGCGTGACTCCTTCCAGTCACATTGCCTTGACAAGGAGCTAATGTGCTGGTCAGACTGTGGCAGGTGGTGAAGCATGTGGCATGGTGTGTGTAGCATGTAGCGAGTAGCATGTAATGTGTGATGTGTGGCATGTGGCATTGTAGATTCATATTTAGGAAAATATGCAAAGAAATTGATTAGTTTGCATGTCATCTATTGGCCAGAGTGGATACTGACCTTGTAGTCTCTCGCATTGTCTCTCTTGTTGTGCTCCTCCCAGTACACCTTGTCTCTTGTCTCTTTCAACACCTTCTCATTGACAATGGAGAGGTCATATGGTCCAACTGAGGACTTCACTGTGATGTGCCAGCATTTGCATTGCTCTGCCTGATAGGTTAGCAAGGTCTTTTGTGCTATGGGGTCTCAAAGTGACCAGTATTTGTGAACTTGTATGTTCAACCAGAAGTGTGCTATCATGCAAACTCTGTCCTCTGGCCAGTCCACTTCCTCTATCACTACCAGAAAGCAGGGGCAAGCCTGACAGAACTCTTTGAAGGGTAAGTTTTCATCATTTACTACTACCCGCCTGCTCCATGTAGAAGCTGATGATACCCAGGCCATTGAGCTGTCCGCCAATGTAGAAAGAATCATGGCATCATCATCAATGGTCTTCTTTGTATTGGCTTCATCTAGTCCATCATTAGTGAAGTACCAGAGTTCCACATACTCGCCCTTGTTGAGCTTCCTCGGAGCATAAGAGCATGGTGTGATGACCGGGTCATCAGGTATGCCTTCTTCAAGGATTGGAATGAACTTGTGCTTATTCTTCTTTTTCTCCTCCTTGCATGCTGCATTCTCTTCCTCAATCCTTTCTTGATTGAGATGTTCTTGCTCGTCTTCTTCTAGTCTATCTCAGTCTTCCTGTTGCTCCCTGTCCTTGTCTACCTGTTGTTGCCATAAAATCTTGACTGCATTGTTGTTGGCCTCCCAGATATTCTGAAGCAATTGCATTGCTTGATCTTCGGTTGTGTCATCATTGACCAGTTGTGTGCGAATGTTGATGAACACATCCACAGCATAGTCCAGGTAAACATTGAGGTTTGGGTCATTTTGAATTCTCAGCATGTTGGAATAGAATTTTCTAATTTCTAAACTACAAGAATGATGCAATGAAACGAGAGTGTAGTTGAGAAGTGAAGGATTTGTGAGTACTAATGTGGTAGTACAAAGCAAGAAGGTGGGAAACATGAAAAGCTGTGTCACCACATAGACCTAATTTTATCCACATTCTCATTCCTTGAACTTGTATAGAATACAACATAGATGTCCTCTGGAATCTGCGAGGGACCTATATACATGGCCAGTATATTGGCCACTTCAACAATTGATGCTGCCCATACAATAATCTGTTATATAATTCACTAATCCATGTGAATGAAAATTGATACACAAGACCCGGTGTAGAGAATGAGATTCCTCCAGGCGTAGATCATGCATATTATGACTCATGACAATTGGTACAGCACACAACTCACTATCTATGACTGTCCCACAAAACATGCCAGAAGCGCGACACTTTCCCACACTACACGACACATTCCCACGCACGCGCTTAGCGCGCTCTTCCCACGCTCAGTCACACTATGTTGTGCAGCATCCTGGAGCCTCCATCCATTGTCCAACCAGTCCCCTAGTGTGTCCCTTTCCATTATTTCTCATTATCAGACCATGTTTGGCATTGTATGATATTTTATTCCATCGTGGACCCTCACATTACATCATTTACATACTTAGAGTGCTCCCTATTTGCTTCTGAGCCCTGGGAGTGCACCTAGGCACAGCTTACCTGTTGCCTAGAAAGTTTTCATAGAAACAACCACCATCATGTCAGTATGCATCAGTTGTCACCCTAGCCTTCAGCAGCAGCCTATCATCATCAGTCCACTCAGCAGTCCCAGTACACACCTTCATGCCATCTTTCAGTTTCTTACACATTTGCGCACAGCTTGCACATTATTCCCATGCTTCACACTCCTATGTGCTCTGTATTCCTGTGTGCACACTTCACCAGAGTTGACCTGGCATCACTTTGTGGATCTTTGCTTTCCTTGCTTCCCCTAAGGGTCAAACATATCACCTGGCACATTTCAACCAACACCTAGAGAGTCAGTAGGCTTTCCTCTCACCCCAGAGTGAGAGCCCTCTTTCTTTCCATAGCTCTGCAAACCAGCAGAGTAGTTGAACCTTCACTGGAGAAACACACCTTCAACAAATTTTGAAGCCAAAGATCTAGAATAAGATTGATTAATGATTCAGATGCTGAGGGTGCCACCTTCTCTTGAGATGATGGGGGCAGAGAGGGAGAAGTTAATGAGATATGCATGCCAATGGCTGAAGCCACAAGGAAAGGGATCTTCAATAGATTCATGCTGTGTCATTGAACCTGCGATAAGTCACATTAAATACCTCTCCTCCTACACAACAAAGCTCCCACATTCCTGCTATGGGAGTAGTGCATTGTGGTTCTAATGAGGTCAACACATTGCATTGAGCAGCATTTGACCATTCCATGACTAGTAATTTTCAAATAGCAATGGGGTTTCCTGGTACAGTCTTATTACCCCACCCAGCTTTTTTGCAGTGACTACCTCACACTGATGGATTCTCTGGTATGGAGCTTTGGCTTGTATACACCAGTCCAGATTGGGAGAACCATGTAGGTGCCACATCATGGTGCTAGTGTTGTTGGCAGAACTTCAGGGTATCCTAGGCTTGCAGAGATGTGATTTAGATCTGATAACAGAGTTTGAATTTAAAGCAGAGCCATCCCTCTTGTTGTGATATTCAGGTCCCCCTTCCTCAGCACACTGGACCACACAATGAGATCAATCAGTTTGTTTGCTGCTATGGTGTTTCTATCTGAGCTATCACTTGTCATTGACTATTGCTGGCACTATACTTGTTAGCACATGCTTAGCTGTCACTGGTCACCATCAATATGTTTGGCTCTCACCCCAGTCCATGTATCATCATTACTTCAAATCATGCAGTCGGACCACTCAGCACATTGCCAGGAATTAGGATGACATGCAATCTGATGGGTTTCCTGCAAACAAGTGTGGACACATCAGGAAAACCTCAACTGACTTAATCAGACTTTTTTGGACTTTCCAATGGTTTTCACTTCTTTTCAAAAATGAGTGGCCTTTTTCTCAGTTATGTTTCTTAATTCACTGCCTGATCCCAACTTGAGTATCAGGAATGGTTAATTATTATTATTTCATACTGTTGCAATGGTTGGAGTTCACAATTTGTAAAGATTACTACTTCAGGAGAGGATTTGAAAATAGAAATAATCAGTACTCTGTGCCACTTGCTGGTAACAAATTTATGTTTTTATGTTTTTAAATATGTCTCTTAGGTTTATAAAACATATTGGAACACATAAATTTGTATCAGGCAGTGAAAACCATCATAAAGTCCAAAAAAGTCTGATTAAGCAAGTTGACATTTTCCTGATGCCATTGTGTCTTGCAACATACACTTTTAATGCACACTTGGTTATAGGGCTGGTATCACTATGGGTTCCCCTTTGGTAGAGGCTGGTAGAGGTTGACTAAATGCCATGTCTCAGAGATGCTGCTAGTGTCAGAATTAGAATGTCAACTTGACCTGTATACATGTGCGGCCTGTAATTTACTTATGTGGACCCTAAGCCTTTCCTGATTTGGCAACAGCCAAACTTTCACCTTGTGACTTGTCACAGAGTATCTTTGTCCTGATCCTTGCTGTATAACTATATAACCCATATATGGATATTCCATGCTGTACCTGTACCTGTTACCTGAAAATTTGAAGGCTGAGTGCTGAAATTGAAACACCAAGGTATAAGCTTGTTTTGCATCCATGTCATTCCTTGCCTCTAACTCTCTTCATCACATCCAGTCCCTCAACCAAGGATGTCCAGCCATGTTCACACATGTCATATCATTTGACTTGTAGAGCCTTCAAGCTCAATAGCACCTACCTGCTGATCTTATTTAACCCACCACTAACAGGATCACCAACTTCAAGTCGTCCATTTGATTACTCTTCACTTGGCACAGTCATATGGGCATCTATTGCATGAAACTGTTATTGAACAACATGGAAATACTTACATGTGCAGCATAACTTGATCTCTCAACCCTTCTCACCTGAACTTCATTCACACCCATACCCCTACTCCCGTCTTCTCCTACCACTCATTCTGTCCACCACCCAGCCCATCCTCAATCCTTACTGTTTTGCTTCATTGCACCATCATGACTGGTAGCTTAGCAGGCCAATGATCAACTCAAACATAGGTCCCATATCACCTTTTTATTCATTTTGTGCCTCATCCTTGCCCCTTATCTACAGTCATCAGTGCAAACAATCTTCTGTTCCCTTCTGAGCGCATACCTGCAGGTTTTTATGTGTCTGTCATATCCCATAATCTGGATCCACATTCCATCATATTCCCATGCCTTCCAAGCCTACATCCAGACCCCCCTTCATATCCAACTCATTCCCAGATCCCCTTCTGCTGTATGCTCCATACCTCAGCAGGATTGACTCTGCTCTGGATTTACTCCTGAGCTCCAGACCATTGGATCTCCACTGCTAGCCTGATCTGTACCCCCCTGTACCATTCACCCTATGCACACTCCATCCAGCAAGACATCTGGACTTCACCTCATCTCAGATTCCAGACTATATCCACCTCCTCATATTCCAGTCCTGTATCCACCTCATCTTCCAGATCTCCAGACCTCCAGATATTGACTCTGGACCTATTCTCACCCTCTGTCCAATATCCTGCACCTATCCCCATTTAGGTATCTCTGCCTTTCTAGCTTTTGGTTATCTCCTGTTCCGTCTTGCTGATTGATCCTTGTACAAGTCTTCATCTCTGAGTTCATTTACTTATGTTCTGTCTTACTTGCTAATGTGTTTCCATGTGCTCATACATAGCCCTGCTCCTTTGCTTACTGATCCCCTCAGATATTCTCCAGTATATAACCTCTGTACATACTCCTGTAGTTTCTCAGTTTGAATATCATCTTAGACTTTGCTCTACTTTCCCAATCCTCTCTTGGACTTTGGTCCACCTAAGTCTGTCCTATCCATCAGGCCTAGGGATTGATTCCCTAGGCTGGAGCTTTGCCTTTCCAGCACTTACCCTCTTTCTGGACTTAGGTCCACTCCCTGTCTCTCTGACTCTACCTTAGGGTAGCCTATCTCTGTTTGTTTCTACATCAGACCCTGTCTGATGTAGCCCCTATTCCTTCTGGGCTTCTGGATGTCCTGTCCTTTGGATGTCCTGCCCTCTGTACCTTTGGATATCCCACTCCCCATACCTTTGGGCATCCTACCCTTCTGTCTTTCAGACGTCCTATCCTCCTGTCCTCTGTCCTCCTGTCCTCCTGTCCTCCTGTCCTCCTGTCCTCCTGTCCTCCTGTCCTCCTGTCCTCCTGTCCTCCTGTCCTCCTGTCCTCCTGTCCTCCTGTCCTCCTGTCCTCCTGTCCTCCTGTCCTCCTGTCCTCCTGTCCCCCTGTCCTCCTGTCCTCCTATCCTTCCATCCTATTTCCTGTAGAAGTATTACCTTGTAGTGGGAACTCTCTTGAGCACTTCCTGCATTCCTCTGGAACTCTCCCACACTCCTCCAGAACTCTTCCGCACTCCTCCAGACATTTTCATGCTCCTCTGGAAGTCCTCTGGCACTCCACCAGAGTAGCCAGCCTCCGGAAGTCCTCCAGACTTTGTTAGACTATCATTGGACCTCATATGAAATGAAGGGCACATACTCAGGTAAGGGGCATAGTGTACAAGCTAAGGCCAAGCCCCTCTGAGTCAGTCTCTCTCTCCCTTGAGCAATATTGTTCTTAACAGTGTCCATTAATATCAGCTTAAGGGGGCACTGGAAATCAACTGTCTGAGTAGTATCATCTGAGAGATCTGAAGTGTTAGGTGATATCGTAATTTTGTAAAGTCTATAATGACTTTCACACTGATCATCCATTTGTAGATCATTATGCAAGGTACCTGAATTATCAGGGCATCCCATAAACCTGTTTGAATGCTAGGCAATGGGGAAGTTATTGAAAAATCTGATACATCGTGGGATGAGCTACTTGATTGTGGGGATGAGCCTTTTGGTGAGTAACCTCCTCACTCATACGCATATACTCACATCTTATAGAATGCATTGACTAGGTGTTGTGTGCACATGATGTATTTGTGGACCATCTTGATGCTGTTGCTATTGTTTAGGAGACTTTGCAGGTTTGGGGCTTGCCACATTCTGACTTCAGCTTTCATTATTGTTTGGTGTCTCCCATATGTTGGGAAGGACATCAGGAAGTGGTGCACTGATTCCTCCCTCTATTCATACCTCAGCCTTTGTGCTATTTGCTTTTGTTAATGGAACACCTGCTGTCAGCCCATAGTGTCATTTTAATGCATGAAGTAATTACAGCTGTAAGACACTTGTAATGCATCAACAGTTACTGCTGCTTATCCTCCCTTTTTAGAAATCTTTAAGGATCCCTAATGCATCAGTGATACATTAGCACTCAAGATAATGTATTAGTCCCCAGTTATCTAATTTGGCTGCCCTGGCCATTAAAAAGTGGGTGGGTACCTTATGGGCCTTCTGTAGTACCTTCCCCTTGTGCTCAGACCCTTTGGATGTAGGGTAGTGGGCCTTCCTGTACCTGACTACCTTTAGTGTTCCTTTCCCTTCCCATTGTGTGGCTGTGTTGGCTAGTGATGAGCACATGTACCCCGTACTTCTGTACCCTATAGCAGCATTTCCTGAGCATCCAAAATTTCATGAAGTCCATAGAGTTCAACAGTAGCATTTCCTGAATGTCCAAAATTTCATTAAGTCCAAGCTCATAGTGGCAAATCTATAATTGTTATAGCTTAGCAAGGTCCTGCAGCATTCTCATTCACATGTAGTATAGCACAACCAATATATTAGAATGGATTTGAGGACAGGTTTGAGTGTTAAGCAATATATATGACTAACAGTAAGACAGATAGCATGGTGTGGTACTTCCAATCGAAGTATGCATCCTATCAATAAACAAGATGTTAGGTGCTATGTACAACCAACTTCTGAACAAGAACTCAATGATGACAAATGACAAAAATTCAAAGACACTAACTTTTTAGATGTGTTACCAGTGTTCTTAGCATTGCACTTGCTGCCACATTTTGATATAGCATTTGTGCCTCCACCCACTTGACCAGACCACCGAGGAGTATCACCAATGACATTGTCCAATTCACAGTGATTGAAAGGGACTGATCAGCATGCCCTACCAGTATGCCAAGCACCAGGCTGCTCATCTTCAACATGGTAAGCACAAGGTTCAGAGGCAGGTGTCTTCTGAAATGCAGGGGGAGTAGGAGGTATAGGCATTGTGGAGGGAGTATGAGCAGGAGCTTCAATGATCACAGGAGGCTGGGGCCTAAGTACCACTGGGTCTGTCTGAGATCCAGTGAGAGGAGGTTTAGGTGTCTCAGGAGCCTTAGATGTGGCAGGGGGAGTAGGACCAAGAGCTTTAGTTCTCATAGGAGGTTGAGCCTGAGGTGCAGGGATTGCTGTATCTGGCTTGAAAGTAGAGAGACTAGTAGGTCTGGGTGTTGCAGGTGCTGAAGGGCCTGGTCATGATGCAGGAGGAGCAGGAGGTGTAGGTGTTTGAGTATGAGCCACAGGAGGCTGAGACCCATGGAGCACTGCATCTGGCTGAAAAGCAAGGGGAGTAGGAGGTGTGGGCCAGATGAATGGAGTAGGCCAGATGAATGGAGGAACTGGAACCTCACACTCTACAGGAGGTAGAAAAGGCAGATGTGAACTAGCGCCCTCTGAATCCATGCTAGGCATCTCCAGAAGAGAGAGCATTATAGCCTCATAATCCATAGGTTGGAGACTATTGTAGTCAATGTTGTAATCCAACAGCTTGGATGCCTGTGTATGTAAGTCATGTGTATGTAAGCTTAAGTCCTGCATAGTAATGCATCAACTTCTCGTAAATGTGATGCATTAGCCTCAAGCTTACCTAACTAAACCCATCCATGGAAGAGACTAAGTTCAACTCCATGTGTGATGTATTATACTCATCTTGTGATGCATTACACTTGTTCAGAGTCAACTTGTTAAGGTCATACTCAAGGGCTAACTGAATCCGAAGGGCTTTGGCCTCAGCTCATGCACTGTGCCCCTTACTCGAGTATTGCCCCTTATTTCAGGAAGGCAAGACTAATGCGTCCAGAGGGTCAGATGGGTAGCGTAGCAGATCCAGATGACTTCTGGATGCAGGATAAGTATCATAGGGCTAATCTGGACAAGTCCAGACTAGAAACTAGCAGTAGTGGCTGTCATAGACAGAGGTGGATGCGGATAGACTATAGGAATCAATCCTAAGTCTCAGAGGGTGACAAGAGTAGGGATACTCAGGTCCAGAGGACAGGAATGAGCAGAACTAAGTTGATATTTGAACTGAGGTGTTACAGAGATTTACAGGAGGTTATATACTATAGGTATCTAATGGAATGATCAATCAGCAGGGTCCGAGGCTATGTACGAAGCATATGGATATTCTATTGGTAAGTAGAAATGGATCACAAATAATGAAACGGAAATGAAGCATAGGTGACGGATCAGTGAGCAGGATGGATATACCGATAACCAAATTACCAGAGTTAGGGGACTACTGAAAGGAGACCAGTGCTGGTTGTGGATTCGGATGAGTTGTGGACCAGACCAGACAAGTGGACAGATTGGATGATGAGATGTTGGAGGGGGATAAGATATGGATAGGATTGGAGATAAGATGTGGATCAGATCTGAGATGAGATAAGAATCAGATCTGAGATCCGGATATGTGGATATGACACAGCTACCAACTGCAACCATGACAGAGATGTTGAATGCAGCAATAACAACTCAGCAGGTGAGGGTTCAGATACTGAGGTGGATGAGGATCACACTGGTGAAAGTACCACTGCTGGAATAGAGGAGTGGAATACACTTTATCAGTTGTGTCATATCCACATATCCGGATCTCAGATCTGATTCTTATCTCATCTCAGATCTGATCCACATCTTATCTCCAATCCTATCCATATCTTATCCCCCTCCAACATCTCATCATCCAATCTGTCCACTTGTCCGGTCTGGTCCACAACTCATCCGAATCCACAACCAGCACTGGTCTCCTTTCAGTAGTCCCCTAACTCTGGTAATTTGGTTATCGGTATATCCATCCTGCTCACTGATCCGTCACCTATGCTTCATTTCCGTTTCATTATTTGTGATCCATTTCTACTTACCAATAGAATATCCATATGCTTCGTACATAGCCTCGGACCCTGCTGATTGATCATTCCATTAGATACCTATAGTATATAACCTCCTGTAAATCTCTGTAACACCTCAGTTCAAATATCAACTTAGTTCTGCTCATTCCTGTCCTCTGGACCTGAGTATCCCTACTCTTGTCACCCTCTGAGACTTAGGATTGATTCCTATAGTCTATCCGCATCCACCTCTGTCTATGACAGCCACTACTGCTAGTTTCTAGTCTGGACTTGTCCAGATTAGCCCTATGATACTTATCCTGCATCCAGAAGTCACCTGGATCTGCTACGCTACCCATCTGACCCTCTGGACGCGTTAGTCTTGCCTTCCTGAAATAAGGGGCAATACTTGAGTAAGAGGCACAGTGCATGAGCTGAGGCTGAAGCCCTTTGGATCCAGTTAGCCCTTGAGTACAACCTTAACAAGCTGGGAGAGAGTCCTCATATTCTAAACATCAAGTTTAGCATTAGTGAGCAAATGATTTCCCATGCCAGTCACTTACTGATGGTGCTGTCCACAAAACTCACAAATGCCTTAAGAACCTCACTGTATATCACATATTACTCTGCAAACTGGCCACCAGTGGTGCATTCACCAAGGAGATAACTGTCAGAATTATCTTGTTACTGATTGATTATAGATAGATAATTGGTACATACTCAAAGAATCACATATTACCCCCAGCTTCTGGATCACAGCCACCCATGAGGACAGAGAACTTCCATCTGCCAGTCATATGACTCAGGTGTTGGAAGATACAATCTAACATCACCAGAAGCTCATAGATTGCCCTGCATAACAGTGAATTTTGCTGAACAAAATGTTGAAAATGTAAGGATATACTTAATCTTTGTATTGTAATCCACCTCTTCCCTTGCCTCAGTGGCCTTTCAGGCTTTTTTGAACTTCTTTTGCAACTTTCAGTGCTCCTTCTGAACCTTCTCTTTGACGTCAATTGACTCTGCCTCATATTTCTCTGCAGTGATCTCCTAACACATGTGGAGCTTAGAACCACAAGAGGTAATTCCACTATCTGCAATTGCATTGTCAGCTGACTGCTTGACATGGTTGGCATAGTACATTTGTGAGTGAACCTCAACCTCCTTCAGTGCATGGGGACCTTTCATGGACACACCTCCTATGAGAGTTTGTTTTATGTTGAGGACTCCTCTGGAACCACCCAAACATGTAAGATGTGTGGGGTTTGTCTGCCACTGATACCAAGACATGATTTGCTATAATTGACAGTAAGCAAATATTTCAACAATGCAAGTGAGTATGTACTTTTTTTCAGGTTTGCAATGGTGTCTGATACACCTCCTTCTGCTTCTCAGTCAGCTCATCCTCATCATCAACATCAGGATAGTATGCTTTATGGACTGGCCATTGGGCAAAGAATTTCTAGTTGATTTTGGGCCAGAACTGTGTATAATTTTTTGATGGCATTTAAGTGCAATATTCAGCCAACATTGACATCAGGACAACTTCTTGCTCAGCCATAGCCCACATTGGTGGAGCCATTATGTTGAGGACTGCCAGAACATGTAGGGAGGGGCTCGACTATGAGAACACACCAGACACATACTTAGACACAGAACATATAATGCATTACTTGGTATCCATGTACATACTTCACTGTCAAATGGCTGTCAAATGGAGGATCTTGTTGACAATGTGAACATCTATCTATACAACCTGTGGGTATATTCAGCTGCAAGCAGATTCTTTAAGTCCAGAACTTCATTGTTAGAGTAGTTGCTGTTAGAGTATGCACAGAACACTTACTGGATGGTATGCATGTCCAAGTAATCTCTAAGACATCTGGCAGTGTCAAAGCTATTGCACAAGCGAGCTGCTCTTCTCCTAAAAAAAATACTTCTGGATCAACTGCAAACCAAGGATAAGCAAAGGTTGAAGTAGAATAGAAGCAGGAACTTTACCTCTTGGTGTGTATCACCTGGGTAGACATTGCACTCAGGCCACCAAGTGAACCATACCTCATAAATGGACTGCAAAAATTTGCTATGGTTGTTAATGAGGATCTTGTTGAACCTGTCATATAGCTCAGCAAGAAATGTGCATTGAGCTGGAGACATGTACTGTGCCTCAAGTTTTTGAGACATTGAGTGGGAAAGGTGGAAGAGAGTGAGGATGCAAATGCTTCTTGCTTAATTATATAACTAGGTTGATAAAGTTAATGCATTACAGTTACAAGGACCTAGTGGATATGTGTGCTTATAAAGTCTTGTACAGTAAGTCCTCCTGCCTGTGCTGTCAGCAAGGTCAGGTATCCCTGACATCCCTGATGTTCTGTAGCACCACAGTTCCTCAATGGTAGCTATAGTCTTTGCACCAAGTAGAAATTGCACAGACCTCCTTGTAAAATCTTGTCATGCCCATCTCTTTGAGCACACTCCTTTCCAGTCCCCACAGACCAACCTGAACCTCTTCAAGATGCACCAGGACCTCGAGAAGCTTACAGGTTGCAGTCTCCTGTGTCTTGATACTGTATATGAGCTGATCACACAGGTCTTCACAGAATTGTTACACTGGTGTACCAGTGCAATCCAGTAGTGCAGCCTGAGTGCAATTGAGCTGCTGACTTTGCAGTGTGAAACAACCAAGGGCAAGAAATTAGTAAAACTTAGTTCATAGTTGTAAGAATACCTTACACATGTGACAGTTGAGTTTTCAAGTGAGCTGTGCTATGCATTCTGGTGGTTTGCTTTGATTCTGGCGCAATAACAATCTGAGAGTTGCTTGTCTTAGAGGTGGGGCAGACCTTCATTGTTGCAATTTTGGTAGTGCACTCAGGCTGGACATTGCCTGCCATCCGATTTGCACAATATCTGTTATTCTTTTCACAGATGGCCCTCTTGTTCCTATAGATGTGTCAGACTATGAGAATACATGCATCATATTAATCACCCACAGTTTATAGTATTTTCTGTGGGATTCACATGCTGCTTGGGCTCTCTTAGCATCATCCTTGTATTTGAGCAGATGACCCGCCATCAGTGTCAAGTAGAGTGTTGAGGTGTTAGTAAGTACCAGTGCTAGTGTTAGATGTGTTTGGGAGAATAATACCATTCAATGGCCATTGCAATTAGGAGATTAAAGCGCTCCCATCAATATCTAAGCTCAGATTGCTGCAGCATATCACTCAAATTTATCTTAAGGTTGTCAGTAAAGTCACATAGCTACTTCAACCCCTGCAGACACTGTCAACATCGACATTTTCTTGCCATTGACTTGGAATCTTTTTTGGTGCAACAAGACTGTCCACCCTGATACTGAACTTCCTGCCTGCCATGACACAAATATTACTGTTGATCATTCCAACACAGTACACACCACTTCAACTCCCAGAAAACAAAATATAGAAGACATGTCAATATTCCTGACCATGAACTGTCAGTAGCAAGCCATTTCAACCTTCCTGAGAACAAGACATATGTGCATCTGATGTGGTAGCAAGCCACTTCAGCCTTCCTGAGAACAAAACATGTGTGCAAGAAATGAGATATGATTGTAAGCAAGAAACATGCAGGCAGCAAGTACAGATAAGAAACACATGGGTGACAAGTACATATTTCATATATACACCAGATATGACGTTTGTTTGCTAGCAGCAGCAACCATCAGAGTGGCAACTCCTGCACAGTGCTGTCTTGCAATGCCTGGGCATATGCCTCATCTGCACCAGCATGAGAGGAGTACTGACTGAAACAGGCTCCAAGAATGCCTATCACATGCAGATGGACATTATGCCTGGAAGAACACTGAATTGAGAGGTCTAGATGAGAAGGAGATACATACCAGCCTTGAAATACACTGGTCTCACATCCAACAGTAATGATGTACCAGCAGACTGAAGCAAAAGTACTCCCATGAGGTGCAGCAACAGTGGTGGGAGGTGCAGCACCAGCTGCAGCAGTAATAGTGATGGAAGGTGCAACATTGACCTCAGTGGTCACACTGGTCAAGGAGCTTGTGTCTGAGACACTCTGAACCTCATCTGATGTGTTTGATCAGGATCTGGTATGTCTTACATGAAGCAAAAACTTGCCTCCTCCTTCAGACATGTCTCCAGGACTGTTGCTAGACTCAGAGGAGATAGACAAACCTGCCTGTGAAATCTGACTCTGACAGATATAACAGGTCTGCCTATGAGTATGAAGAATGCAACCTGGACAATAGCCTACTGCTAGCACTTCTTCCAGATGGTTAGGAAGATCAGTGCCAGCCTCAGCATGGGCATGTGTGAGAACTGAAAATAATGAGTGAGTGCAAGGACAAGCCAGTGTTATTATGCTGACTTACATAGTTGATTGCGCAAAAGCTCCACAATAGTTACCAGCTCAGACAAACTGAAGGTCTGTTCCTTAATCATCATGGGAAAAACCTTCATTTTGGACAAACAGATAGAGTTAGAGGTAATAACAAGTGAAAGTGTTGACTGAAGAGCTAAAGGTGCAGTGCTTGATGATGGAAAAGGGTTTCAATTAACACGTTGTAGAGAATGAGATTGCTCTAAGCTTAGATTGCACATATTTCAACTCACAATGATTAGTACAGTGCATAACTCACCAGCAATAACTGTCCCACAAAATGCGCCAGAGATGCGATGCTTTCCCACACTACACAATGCATTCCCATGCATGTGCTTTGCATGCTCTTCCTGCACTTGGTCACACTTTGTCGCACAGTGTACCAGAGCCTCCATCCATTGTCCAACCAGTCCCCTGGTGCGTCCCTTTCCATTTATTCTCATGTCTGGCATTGTACAATATCTTATTTCATCATGGACCCTTACTTACATCATTTTACATACATAGAGTGCTCTCTATTCACTTCTGAGCCCTGGGAGCACACCTAGGCACAGCTTACCTGTTGCTGAGGAGAAGTTTTCAAAAAAATCAACTACCATCATGTCACTTGGCATCTAGAGTCAGAATCTATCATCATGAGTTAGCATCCATTAGTCATCACCCTAGTCATCAGCATCAGTCCATCAGCATCAGTCTCCACTTAGCAGTCTCAATCCTATGCACTCAACATTCCCGCATGCATGCTTGCAGCACACTTCGATAGAGTTGACCTGGTGTCACTTTGTGGATCTTGCTTTCTTTGCTTCCCTTAAGGGTCAAACACATCACTTGGCACACTTTGACCAACATCTAGAGAGTCAGTAGCCTTCCTCTCACCCCAGAGGTAGAGGCTTTCTTTCTTTCTTTAGCTCTGCAGCCTAGCAGAGCTGTTGAACCTTCAGTGTCTTATATCACTCACACTGGCAAACTTTGGTGAACTTCACCATGAGCTTCACAGAAGGCCTCTTACATGACAAGAGGTCAATACATAAAGCTTGGAGGATCCCAAAGGACTTATCCTCAGGTTTACCAAGAACACCGACAGAACACTGACTCAGGAACTCATCAATGAAATGTCAAGCTCTAGTGGAGGCATTGCCAGTAGTGACACACCAGGTAAGTATTGTGTATGTACTCAGTGGATGACTGCATTGATTCATCATGAACACATAGCTCATGAAACAACCATGATGCAGGCCAGGATGTTACCTTGGTCTTGGCATGAACTCAACAATTGTGGTCATAACAGTTGTGGTTGTGGTCATGTGCATGGACAACATGGCACTGGACTTGGCCACAGCAGTAGTCAAGAATGCAATAGATTGTGTTTCAATGAATACATTATCGCTCCTACATCAAGTCTGCTAATTGCTCACAAGAGGGTCAAATTTACCTCACAACCATGTGGTAGTTTAACTGCATCTCATCAGGATGTCTTCAGGTCCTCAGAGGCATCATCATCTTCTCCTGGCACACATCTTGCAGATAATATACTTTGCAACAACATTAGCAACAATGAGAATAGTGATTGCTATGAGGCGATGGATGAGGTTCCTTCACCCAAAGTGGAAGTAGGGTCTCAGAATAAGTGCAGATGCACAGCCAGTGTATATGGACAATTTCTACTCACTTACTATGTGCTGACCTGCTCTAGGATCATCCTCTCCTTAATTGGATAGATTATTGGGAATTATTCCTTTTGGAGATGCTTCACCACAATGGAAAAGGCAACGACATCTTGTCAACCTTCTGCAACACCTGTGGGATCACAGTTGGCTTATACCATTGTAAGGATTGTTTCATGCCCAGGTTATCATGTCAGACATGTGTCATTCATGCTCACACATATTCACCAGTGCATTGTGTGGAGGTAAGTGTCATGTCCTATTGGGATGCTATACATGCTTCATGCAAATACTACAGAAGTAGAACAGCAAATGCTTCCAAAATGTGACTCTTAAAGATCTGGGACTTTGCATGCAACTTGGGCACAAAGTTGGTGAATCTTGCCTGCTTCCCAACTGAGCCTTCAATGATGATTTCATTCTTATTGACACTCTAGGCATACACCCTATGGCCATGGACTTTTGTAGGTGCAATAGAGTGCAAACTCACACCAAACAACTCTTACATGTTGGTTGATTCCCTGCAATGATTAGTGACCCAAGAACTGCAGCAATGTTTTGTGTGCTCTGGCAGTTCCATGTCTTGTCATTCAAGTTGAAGGTTTCTGCCTATAAATTTAATCATTCCTTGGTTTGTATGACAGACAATACTGGCCTTTTGAAGCACAGGGATTGTTATGAGGTGTTCATGTGCATGGCACATGAATTTTGGCATGTCAAGATGTTGAAGCAAGCAGGCCACAGTCATGATCCCTCTGGCATCATTGCCATGCAGCAGGGTGAATGTGCAGTTTTATGCCCAGCATGCCCCCAGCCAGGGAAGAATCTTCCTGATGACTGGGAGCTTGCTCCAAAAGGAAAAAGGTACACACTTGATTGATCAATATGAATGGCTTCTGATGTGTCTCCAGATGGTTATATGGCCTCTTTCTTGCCATTGATGCAAATTTTTGCCTGAAGAGGCAGATAGTCTCAAAGGATGCTGTGGATCCAAGCTTATCCCATGGGTGGGGATACTTTGTCAATGAGACTGCATACAAGACACATCTGACTGATCATGGCATGGAAGCCCAAGAGGTATGTATTGTATTTTGGTTTATCTTGAAGCTTGCATTGATAGACATAACACAGAAAAGCATGTGCACTAGTCATAATGCCATGAATATGGCAGAATCAAAGTCATCAAAGGGACTGGCAGCCACAGGACTTGGAACCATCAACTGTGCACAACATAACATGAAGCTTCCAAATGGTGTTGGTGAAGTTTCAACAACTCTGCTAGGCTGCAGAGCTAAAGAAAGAAAGAAAGCCTCTACCTCTGGGGTGAGAGGAAGGCTACTAACTCTCCAAGTGTTGGTTGAAGTGCACCAGGTGATACATTTGACCCTTAAGGGAAGCAAGGAAAGCAAATCTGTTACAGTGCCCCTATTCTTTTTCTCACCATCACTGCAGACACCTAATGGCTGTACTATTAATGCTTCCTTTTCACTATGCTGTTTCCTCATGGTCTCCCTTATCTCTGACTCATACCTTGTTTTCCCATGAACCTTCCATTTCTAGTACTAGTTACCCTTTGCCCAGCTTGGTCTGTGCACAATTCCTTTATGTATATAAACTCTAGTTACCACTTGTATTTTCTCTAACTTGAATCTACTTGGTTCTCTCTGATACTTGAACTCTAGCTCCTTGGGAAGGAGGCTAGCCATTGTCCCATTTGAACCCTAGATCCTGCAGGAGTCTAGACAATCACTCCTGAGGGAGGCATTAACTTGATAAGGCTTAGTCCTTGATTGACCTTGATCCTTGATTCCTTTATTGGAACGATGCTCTATCCAAGTTCATAACAAAATCCATGAAGTGATGCTGGGTCAACTCTGGTGAAGTGTGCTGGAAGTGCACACATGGGAATATGGAGTGCATAGGAGCGCGAAGCGTGGGAATATGGCACAAGTCATGTGCAAATGTGTAAAAACTGAAGAATGTTGTGAAGATGTGAACTGAGGCTGATGGCTAGGGCAACACCTCTGATGGATGCTAACTCATGATGATCAATTCTAACTCTAGATGATGACCACTGACATGATGGTGGTTGGTGTATTAAAACTTCCTAGGCCACAGGTAATGTCATATGCCATTCCAGACCCTCAACTCTAAATCCACTTCTCTGGACATCTGGATCCAAGATCCAGATCTCCAATGATTGATCCATTACATACATTTCATTTCCAATATGCATTATTTATAATCCATCCTACTTACTAATAGACTTTGCATATGCTTAGGACTTTCATTGTAATAAGCAGGCTATCCTCAACACAGAGGCACAACAGGGAAAGAGCAGCACTAAGGACAACTTCTTCATTCCAAAACTGGAACTCATGCAAAGCTTCACTTGTGCAATCTTCCATGTCGGTTCACTTATGCAGTGGATAGCAGACGTGTTGGAATGTCTTCTAATAACACACTGCAAACATCCATTTGAGTGCACAAGCTGTCAGCAAGATTTCATCCTGCAGATCGCCCACATCCTTGATCGGGAGGAGACCATCCAGCTCTTCGATCTTTATACATTGTTATCCTCCTCATCTATGCCTGGTCAGGACCCTCTCATCAATGCTGTCATCAAGGAAGATGAAGAGATCACCAGTATGGAGACAGATCCTACTCTTGCTTGGGTCTCCAATGTGAACCCAGCCACCCAGCTAAGTCTACAAGGCCCATGCCCCATTCACAATCATTTCTTGAAGGGTATCTTGTCTGATAACACATGAATTGCTTTCAATGTGACTGTGAAAGCAGATCACAGCTGCCTTGATGTGTCTCAACTGCAGTCACTATACAACATCTCTGATTTCTATCATGCTTTACACCTCTAATGTAGCCTTCATGTGGACATCAGCCTGGATATTTCCAATAGTTAGAAATAACGGGTGCATCTCAAGGCCACCTGTGTGTCTTGTAACTGGGGTTTTGTCAGAGGCAGCAATGATTGGAACGATAGTCGCCCCTTCAGGCAGTTGATCCTATGTTGTCAAGCATCAATCACTCAAGTAAATCTAAACCAAAGTGCAACTACTTACCTGAATCTTCCATGCATCATCTGATGTCCAGAATTCTCTGAATTGGTGCTCTTGTCCTTGATAGATATGGTGAGGGTCATAGCACATATGTCTCGCATAAATGGGGTTTGTGAAAAGTTGCTTTGTAACCTCCAGCCTGTCCCTCCAAATAAGATGGATTGGTTGTTCGCTTTTGTAGCCCTTGAGCTTAAGTTTCATACACTGCCATTTTGGCCTGCAACCAGGAAGCTGCTGCATATAAAAGAACAACTCATCCTTTGACTTGAATTGTGGCCACTCTCTGGTCTGGAACTGAAGTAATACAGTGGCTCAAAAAACTGTCTGCATGTTTTGACATTTTTCACTATCTATGATATTGTGTGAGAACAAACAAATGCCTCAAGGACAAGCTTATACCACATTGTAGTATGGCTTCAGGGCTTTCATTTGAGCCCTACACCGTGGGAATCAGTGGAGATATGGTGGAGACATAAGGCTTATAAAATGATGACTCATGTGGACAGTTTTTTGAGTGTATATTAAAACTATATAAATCATTATTTATGACACCACAAAAATCATGCCACTATTATATAAATTATGAAGTGGTGTCATTATGTTATTTTATGACTATATCTAACTATATAAACCAGAATATCTCATGTATCATAGTCATAATCACCATGAAAGCCATCTCCTCTGCTCAAAGAGATAATATCCTCTCCCTGTCTTATGCTGGCCTCTCTGCTCGCCAAATTTCCTCTAGAACTGGAGTATGCAAGTCCACTGTGGCCAAGTTTATCAAAGAAAGCCACCCAGACAAGGAAAACTCTTGTGGAGGATGTCCATCCAAGCTTACCTCTACTGACAAAAGGGCTATTATCCAACATATCACTACAGGAAAGGCTGATAATGCTGTCCAAGCCACCCATTATATCAATTCCACCATCACTACCTCTGTCTCTTCACAAACTGTGAGGAATGTTCTCAAGGCAGCTCATCTCAAGGCAGTAACAAAGAAGAAAAAGCCTCTTCTCTCCATCAAACATAGGCAGAGAAGACTAGCCTTTGCCTTAGCTCATCAACACTGGACTGTAGAGGACTGGAAGCATGTTATATGGTCAGATGAGACCAAAATCAATTGGATTGGGTCAGATGGGAAGGTATATGTATGGAAAAAGAAGGGAGATGGCCTAACAGACAGAGAGGTTAATGGGACTGTCAAGTTTGGAGGAGGTTCTTTAATGGTATGGGGCTGTATGGGATGGAATGGTGTGGGAATGCTTGCTGAGGTTGAGGGGAAGATGAATGCTGAGCAGTATGTGGACATTTTAAATGACCACTTGCTGCCTAGCTTGGCAGAATCAGGGATTGATGAAGAAGATATTATTTTCCAACAGGATAATGATCCCAAGCACACATCCAGAAGAGCTAAAGAATGGTTTGAAGAACATAACATCAATGTTCTTGACTGGCCAGCACAGTCTCCTGATGTCAATGTCATTGAACATCTCTGGAGAACACTCAAGAAAAAGCTTCAAGCCTATGAAAACCCCCCTAAAGGAGTATGGGAGCTTTGGGAGAGAGTAGCAGTGGAATGGGGGAAGATCACAGCTGAGGATTGCCAGAAATTAATTGAGAGTATGCCTAGAAGGATAGAGGCAGTAATTAAAGCCAAGGGAGGTCATACAAAATACTAGAATACCTGGTTATTATTGTAAAATACTTGAGTCAAAAAACTGTCTGCATGAGTCACCATTTTGTGAGCCTTGTATCTCCACCATATCTCCACTGATTCCCATGGTGTAGGGCCCTGAAGCCATACTACAATGTGGTATAAGCATGTCCTTGAGGCATTTGTTTGTTCTCACACAATATCATAGATAGTGAAAAATGTCAAAACATGCAGACAGTTTTTTGAGCCACTGTATTTCATCATGGACCCTAACTTACATCACTTACATACTTAGAGTGTTCCCTATTCACTTCCAAGCCCTGGGAGTGTGCCTAGGCACAGCTTACCTGTTAAGGTCATATGCTCAAGGGGGTTGGATCACAAGGACTTGACCTCAGCTCATACACTGTGCCCCTTTCCTGAGTATGTGCCCTTAATTTCTGGGGGCTAGAACAGTTGTCTGGAGTTTCCGGGTTTTGACTAGGGCAGACAACAGACATCCAGATGTTACTTGGATAAGCAGATAAGACTAATCCAGATGGATTCCGGACTAGAAACTAACAGGGGATAGACTACCCTAAGGTAGAGCTGGAGATGTAGTCTAGGATACAATCCTAAGACTCGGAATATGACAAGAGACTTGGCTCGAGTCTGGAGAACACAGGAATGAGCAGGAACTAAGATGATATTCGAACTGAAGTATTTCCGAGAGTTACAGGAGGTCTATATACTGTAGGTATCATATAGGAATCAGTCAGCAAACACAAAGGCTATGTACAAAGCATATGCAAAGTCTATTAGTAAGTAGGATGGATTATAAATAATGCATATTGGAAATGAAATGTATGTAATGGATCAATCATTGGAGATCTGGATCTTGGATCCAGATGTCCAGAGAAGTGGATTTAGAGTTGAGGGTCTGGAATGGCATATGACATTACCTGTGGCCTAGGAAGTTTTAATACACCAACCACCATCATGTCAGTGGTCATCATCTAGAGTTAGAATTGATCATCATGAGTTAGCATCCATCAGAGGTGTTGCCCTAGCCATCAGCCTCAGTTCACATCTTCACAACATTCTTCAGTTTTTACACATTTGCACATGACTTGTGCCATATTCCCACGCTTCGCGCTCCTATGCACTCCATATTCCCATGTGTGCACTTCCAGCACACTTCACCAGAGTTGACCCAGCATCACTTCATGGATTTTGTTATGAACTTGGATAGAGCATCGTTCCAATAAAGGAATCAAGGATCAAGGTCAATCAAGGACTAAGCCTTATCAAGTTAATGCCTCCCTCAGGAGTGATTGTCTAGACTCCTGCAGGATCTAGGGTTCAAATGGGACAATGGCTAGCCTCCTTCCCAAGGAGCTAGAGTTCAAGTATCAGAGAGAACCAAGTAGATTCAAGTTAGAGAAAATACAAGTGGTAACTAGAGTTTATATACATAAAGGAATTGTGCACAGACCAAGCTGGGCAAAGGGTAACTAGTACTAGAAATGGAAGGTTCATGGGAAAACAAGGTATGAGTCAGAGATAAGGGAGACCATGAGGAAACAGCATAGTGAAAAGGAAGCATTAATAGTACAGCCATTAGGTGTCTGCAGTGATGGTGAGAAAAAGAATAGGGGCACTGTAACAGATTTGCTTTCCTTGCTTCCCTTAAGGGTCAAATGTATCACCTGGTGCACTTCAACCAACACTTGGAGAGTTAGTAGCCTTCCTCTCACCCCAGAGGTAGAGGCTTTCTTTCTTTCTTTAGCTCTGCAGCCTAGCAGAGTTGTTGAAACTTCACCAACACCATTTGGAAGCTTCATGTTATGTTGTGCACAGTTGATGGTTCCAAGTCCTGTGGCTGCCAGTCCCTTTGATGACTTTGATTCTGCCATATTCATGGCATTATGACTAGTGCACATGCTTTTCTGTGTTATGTCTATCAATGCAAGCTTCAAGATAAACCAAAATACAATACATACCTCTTGGGCTTCCATGCCATGATCAGTCAGATGTGTCTTGTATGCAGTCTCATTGACAAAGTATCCCCACCCATGGGATAAGCTTGGATCCACAGCATCCTTTGAGACTATCTGCCTCTTCAGGCAAAAATTTGCATCAATGGCAAGAAAGAGGCCATATAACCATCTGGAGACACATCAGAAGCCATTCATATTGATCAATCAAGTGTGTACCTTTTTCCTTTTGGAGCAAGCTCCCAGTCATCAGGAAGATTCTTCCCTGGCTGGGGGCATGCTGGGCATAAAACTGCACATTCACCCTGCTGCATGGCAATGATGCCAGAGGGATCATGACTGTGGCCTGCTTGCTTCAACATCTTGACATGCCAAAATTCATGTGCCATGCACATGAACACCTCATAACAATCCCTGTGCTTCAAAAGGCCAGTATTGTCTGTCATACAAACCAAGGAATGATTAAATTTATAGGCAGAAACCTTCAACTTGAATGACAAGACATGGAACTGCCAGAGCACACAAAACATTGCTGCAGTTCTTGGGTCACTAATCATTGCAGGGAATCAACCAACATGTAAGAGTTGTTTGGTGTGAGTTTGCACTCTATTGCACCTACAAAAGTCCATGGCCATAGGGTGTATGCCTAGAGTGTCAATAAGAATGAAATCATCATTGAAGGCTCAGTTGGGAAGCAGGCAAGATTCACCAACTTTGTGCCCAAGTTGCATGCAAAGTCCCAGATCTTTAAGAGTCACATTTTGGAAGCATTTGCTGTTCTACTTCTGTAGTATTTGCATGAAGCATGTATAGCATCCCAATAGGACATGACACTTACCTCCACACAATGCACTGGTGAATATGTGTGAGCATGAATGACACATGTCTGACATGATAACCTGGGCATGAAACAATCCTTACAATGGTATAAGCCAACTGTGATCCCACAGGTGTTGCAGAAGGTTGACAAGATGTCGTTGCCTTTTCCATTGTGGTGAAGCATCTCCAAAAGGAATAATTCCCAATAATCTATCCAATTAAGGAGAGGATGATCCTAGAGCAGGTCAGCACATAGTAAGTGAGTAGAAATTGTCCATATACACTGGCTGTGCATCTGCACTTATTCTGAGACCCTACTTCCACTTTGGGTGAAGGAACCTCATCCATCGCCTCATAGCAATCACTATTCTCATTGTTGCTAATGTTGTTGCAAAGTATATTATCTGCAAGATGTGTGCCAGGAGAAGATGATGATGCCTCTGAGGACCTGAAGACATCCTGATGAGATGCAGTTAAACTACCACATGGTTGTGAGGTAAATTTGACCCTCTTGTGAGCACATATGATTTGCATAGACAGGATTTGCAAAAAGCTGCTTCATAACCTCCAACCCATCCCTCCAAATAAGGTGAATTGGCTGTTCACTTTCGTAGCCCTTGAGCTTAAGCTTTGTACACTGCCATTTTGGCCCATGGCCAGGAAGCTGCTGCATGTAAAAGAATAACTCATCCTTCGATTTGAATTGCAGCCACTCTCTTGTCTGGAACTGAAAGTATGTGAGTTAAGTATTTATTTGATAACAATTAGACATACCCAATCTAACTTGGGGAATTTGTTGATCTGTGTCTGGGAAAGGTTCTCGACAAGAAATTTTGCAAGTGACATTCACCTGGCCCATCAAATGGATACCATATGTTGGTCTCTCTGGCTTGTTGAAGAGGATGGCTTTGCATTTCTTGAACTATATTTTGTGGAGGGGGCTGATCCAGAAGTAAATAATGGTAGCCAGAGGTGAGGTGATACTTTGCCAATAAGTCTGTCTGCCCTGGTGGTCACTGTAGAGCCTGTGGGACTGGCAGCATCAATCTGTTGATGAGGTTTTCTGGCCAGCATGTGTCCACACTATTGAGGTGCTCAAGGACTGCCTCAGCTGACTGGCATTGTTTCTTGCAGTTAGGGCACAGGGTGACAGCAATGTCAAATGGCGAACTAGAGAAAGGTTGGTCATGTAATATCACATAGTACTAGTAGTACTTACTTTTCTACCAACTCATCAAAGTCAGAGTCAGGAACCTCATGCTGAAAACCAGGGTTATATGGGTTATAGGGCTGAGGAAATGCCATATGTGTCAGTACTGTGCACTGGCAGTAATACTGCAAAAAGTGTTAAGTCTTTCAAACTCCAAACATTGATGGGCTCACTATTCAACACACTTGCCTCAAAGTGACAGCTCATGATATCAGTTATGCCATATCCTCTGCAGACTCTGTGTCAAAATCATAAAACCCCACCTACCAGTCCACTGCATAGCCCAAAGTCTAGTCTGCTTTTCCCAAAGGCTGATTATGCTGAAGCTTTCACTCACATCTACCATGATAGCCCCCAAAGTTCTTCCCCACCCAGTAGCCTTTGTCCCTCATTGCCCCAAGGTACTCATAATGTCATCCCAAACATCAGCAAAGACTCAAATGAGATTCTGGCAGCATCTGTCTCTTCCTCTGGGCACTATGACTTTTCACATGCTGATTGAGCCAGTTCACCTATGAAAAGGTGGGAGCCTGGGCAACACCATTCAAGACAGATTTCACAGTCCAGCTACCACCCTTATTTCCACAAAACTCCCCCCACTCTGCAGGCAGAGCACAAGATAGCAAGCATGATGGGAAGACCAGCTAGCAGTACAGATTCAGAGTATGATGATGAAACAGTATGTCAGTATGTTTTATGCAGCAACTCCCAGTGACACGTCTTTCTAGATTCACAAAGTATTCTCCCAGGGCCTGCAGCAGATGTCCACTGAAGGTGTTCACTGTGCTGCTTATTACAAAGAAGTGGAACTTGAATACCACCATCATCTCTCAATGACTTTGGCTTGGGAGGCAGAGAAGCTCTCAAGGCTCAAACATTTCCTCAATGGTGAACAGCAAGTGCAGGAGGATAAAACTACTCAAGCATTTGAAGAGGCAGCACTCTTTACATGTATGGTGGTTGATTGTGACTCAGAGCATGCTTCCCAGGACATTAAGTTCATTACTGCTGTTCAAAAGAATGAGGTAAAAAGGATCACAAGGTTGAATGCTGAACTTAATGAGCTTGATGTGTTTCTTCCCTTGGTCCTGCCAGCTTCAGATTTCAACAATGCTGATACACACTCTATCAGAGATCCCCACTGCTCTGATCACTCATATGTTGGAGACCCCCCCAAGGATAGGCTGGTGATGGTGTGGGAGTGAATCAGAGCATGAATCTATCTTTATTAACTAATACCAAAGTATGCTTCATTATTTCATGTGGCAACATGTACTCATTTATTTATTTACAGGATGTAGTTTGAATGATAGTGTTAGATGACTGTAAGGTGGTGCTGCAAACATGTTTGTTTCAACTTTTGACTATTTGGTGTGTTGATGTGTTTGTTTGTTGTCTGTACAGCTTGAATATGATTACCTTGAATGTAGCACTTCATGAACTTTGTTTTTTGCCTTAAGAAGATTACTATCATGGACATGGCACTGAACTGATTATTGATTGATTGACATTTCTGCTCTTGACCACAATACCCTTGAGCTGGAGTGTGCCCTCTAGATGAAGAGTTTCGCAGGTGAGTACCTTGGCCTCTGTTGGTACTCTGGCTCATGGCAACATGACAGGATGTGCCTATCATTCAACAAGCAGGACTGAATATTGCAGGACATTCATCGGCAGATCAACCTGGCTGTGTGTTAGAGATACCACAGTCAATGAACACACCTGAATTGCCCCCTCGCATCAATCCTCCCCCTGTTTTCTTGCACAATGGTTATAGCTCAATACCACCTAGTTATCAGCCTGAGGGCAGCATGCCTTTACCAAGACCATCACTTTTCACTGGGGAAGCCCCTTGCACTGCAGGACCTGATCAAGTCCATCAATCATTCGCACCTTCAGGTGATACTGCATCTCGGTATCATATGGTGTATACAGTGGCTCAAAAAACTGTCCACATGTTTTTGCATTTTTTACTATTTACAATATTGTGTGAGAATACATAAAGACCTCAGTGAAATGCTGATACCATATTGTAGTGCTGCTTCAGGGCTTTGGATTGAGCACCACATTGTGAGAATCAGAGGAGATATGGTGGAGATACAAGGCTTACAAAATCATGACTCATGCGGGCAGTTTTTTGAGCACATATTAAAACTATATAAATCATCATTTATGACACCATAACAATCATGCCACCATTAAATAAATTATAAAGTGGTGTCATTATGTCATTTTAAAACCATATCTAACTATACAAACCAAAAATTTCCATATGTCATGGTTATATTCACCATGAAAGCCACCCCCCCTGCTCAAAGGGATAATATCCCCTCTCTTTCCTATTCTGGCCTCTCTGCTTGTCAAATTTCCTCTAGAACTGGAGTATCCAAGTCCACTGTGGCCAAGTTCATCAAAGAAAGTCACACAGACAAGGAAAACTTCTGTGAAGGGCGTCCATCCAAGCTCACCTCTACTGATAGGAGGGCTATTATTCAACATATCACTACAGGAAAGGCTGATAATGCTGTCCAGGTCACCTATTACATCAATTCCACCATCACATTCCCTGTCTCTTCACACACTGTAAGAAACATTCTCAAGACAGCTCATCTCAGGTCAGTAACAAGGAAGAAAAGGCTCTCCTCTCTATCACACATATGCAGAGAGGACTAGTACCCTTAGTGATGTGTGGGCCTGGCTTGGCCTGAAAGCCCCAGCTTAGGCCCAGCTTGGGGGGGCTTGGGCTTTCAAAAATCTCAGGCTGAGCTGTGGGCCAAGGCCAGGCCAAAGCTGCAGCTTGGCCTGGGCTCATTCATGGCTTTCAAGCATGAAATGAGTTGGAATTCAATATAAATATATTGGCAACTAGTCATCATCTACTGAATCAGCATCAGAGTCTGACATGTCATTATCATCACCTAAAATCAATGTATCCCACCCCTTGTCATCTGCTGGTTCAACTTCTAACACCTCAGTCTTGTGTTCAGAGTCTTCAGTCTCTTCTTCTGCAAGAGATGATGGACCAGGCTCCTGGAATAGAAGATTGTTACGGAGAGAACACTTAACACATTGCAGGGCCTCAACAATATCTCCTTTCAACTGATTACACTGCTTGCTAATGGTGATCCCACCTTGTGAGAAAGCTCGCTCACTTGAGATGGATGTGGCCATAATGGATAGGTAATCTCTTGCCAGTGAAGCCCACACTGGATATCTCTGGGTGTTGATCTTAATAGAAATGGCAGTCAGTGGCAAGCAACCTCAAAGCAGGTGAAATTTACTTACACCCCACCACTGAATCGTAGTCATACCTGCTGATGGAACCGCCTCAATAGTCTCAATGTAGCTCATGAATTTGGCCCTCCATGGTTTTGACAGATCACCAGCAGATGAGGCACCTGGTTCTGGCTCAGAGTTGTCTTCGGAGTCACTCTGAACCTCCCGAATGAGTTTCTTGAGGCCGCCAACCTTGCTTTTTGTAGTTGTGGGCTGCGACAATGCTGGATTTTGATGTAGCTCATCATAGCGCTGTTTGAACATGGTCTTGACACAAGTAAGCACATCATCAAGCAAGTTTGATGGCCAGTGCTTTTTGAAGCATGCAAGTTTTGCTGTTGGATCAAGTACTATGATATCAAATGTCAGAGTTGCATTGACTGAAACAGAGAATGACGAACCCATTGCAATGATGTAGGCTGGGGAGTCCATAGTTTTCTCATAATACTCGTCTAGTTTTGTCGCTGCTGCTTTCAGTGCACTAGTGAACTGAGCATACTTAGGCCTTGCAGCTTGTGAAGACCAAGATTTGTGAAGCATCTCGAGGGCAGGTATCACAAGATGGAGAGTCGATCCTCAATCAGATGAGAAAGCTTGCTGGGCAACATCGGCATATGAAAGAAGGTCTGCAAATTGACCAACCTTTCAGAATCTTCATGGACCCAGAACATATCTCCCCCACTCCAGCACACAGACTAAGAGTGCCAGTGAGAGGCCTAAATCTATTACAAGACCATATTACAATTTTCACTGATGGCTCATGTATCAACAACGGGAAAGAAAACTCACAAAGTGGAGGCGGCATCTGGCTTGGAGAGAACCACCCAAAAAACCTTGCCTTCAGAATCCCAGGGAACAAACACTCCAACCACATAGCCGAACTATCAGCAATCCTTCTGGCACTACAAAGAACAGAGCCATACATACCTATAACATTCATCACCGACTCCAGATACACCATCAACTGCCTCACAAAACACCTACCAACCTAGGAAGACACCGGCTGGATAGGAGTAGTGAATAGCGAGTTCATAAAAGCAGCTGTGTATCAACTGAGGAAAAGATCAGCCCAAACGTCATTTGAATGGATAAAAGGCCACAACGGCCAAAATGGAAATGAACAAGCAGATAAACTAGCAAAAGAGGGAGCAAACAAACCCTCAGCAGACGAACTAGACTTGCACATGCCAGACAACTTCAACCTACAAGGAGCGAAACTCTCAGCAATCACACAAGCCCTAGCATATAAAGGTATATGAGAACACATACCATTTGCCCAAAGAAGAAAAACCACAACTTCCCTAAGTAACATGGATCCAAGTATCATTGAGCTCATGAAGCAGGAGAAAGGGTGACTCGCGTTTTTTGACATATGCTGTCTTAAGCATCTGTCAGATTCACAGAAGGTTAGCAGCGGTTAGATGAAAATAGATATAGTGGCTGCCTGAAGATGGATATTGTTGGTAGTGGTTGTACCTGACATCCAGATGAGTCCGCAGATAATTCTAGAGGAAGTAGCATGGATAATTTCAGTAGTCTCAAGGGCTTGTTTAAAGAACTGTCAGAGCAATAAGTGTCAAGATTTTGCAGTATGTAAATGTTCAAAGGCTTGTTTGAGGACTGTTGAAGCGATGATTGAGCTTGTTGAGATATGGGTTTGACTCAGACAAAGATTCAAAAAGATAGTTTGCACCATTGCGGTCAGAGTGATAAGTTAATAATGGTGCTTGTTGTCTCAGATATGAGCATGCCACCTGAGTGAAAGCCATGGCTTGAGCCACCGGCTCCGGCTTTTTGATTCCCTAAGCCAAGCCCTAAGCCATGGTCAGGCCCTGACTTGGGCCCAGCTTGGCTTGGCCCAATTAGGGCCAGCTTTGGCTGGCCTGTGGCTTGAAGCTGGGTCGTGCACATCACTAAGTACCCTTCTTTTTCACATATATACCTTGCCATCTGATCCAATCCTATTTATTGTGGTCTTATATGATCATATAACATGCTTCCATTCCATGTAATCCAATTCTGATGGGCTAAGGCAAAGGTTAGTCATCTCTGTTTATGTGTGATAGAGAGGAGAGCCTTTTCTTTCTTGTTACTGACCTGAGATGAGCTGTCTTGAGAATGTTTCTTACAGTGTGTGAAGAGACAGGGAATGTGATGGTGGAATTGATGTAATAGGTGACCTGGACAGCATTATCAGCCTTTCCTGTAGTGATATGTTGAATAATAGCCCTCCTATCAGTAGAGGTGAGCTTGGATGGACGCCCTTCACAGAAGTTTTCCTTGTCTGTGTGACTTTCTTTGATGAACTTGGCCACAGTGGACTTGGATACTCCAGTTCTAGAGGAAATTTGACAAGCAGAGAGGCCAGAATAGGAAAGAGAGGGGATATTATCCCTTTGAGCAGGGGGGGTGGCTTTCATGGTGAATATAACCATGACATATGGAAATTTTTGGTTTGTATAGTTAGATATGGTTTTAAAATGACATAATGACACCACTTTATAATTTATTTAATGGTGGCATGATTGTTATGGTGTCATAAATGATGATTTATATAGTTTTAATATGTGCTCAAAAAACTGCCCGCATGAGTCATGATTTTGTAAGCCTTGTATCTCCACCATATCTCCTCTGATTCTCACAATGTGGTGCTCAATCCAAAGCCCTGAAGCAGCACTACAATATGGTATCAGCATTTCACTGAGGTCTTTATGTATTCTCACACAATATTGTAAATAGTAAAAAATGCAAAAACATGTGGACAGTTTTTTGAGCCACTGTACATATATACCTCTTTGTGGTGTGGAAAAATCATGCCAAGAGTATACTAATGGTGTTGTATATGTATGTCTTATGTTTACACCCTCCAAGTTGCACTTAATCATACATTTAGAGAGATGAAATGACAGGGATCCAAAAATCATCTACCCAGCAGTACCAGCTCCCTCCTATTAGACTCCCAAGGGTGCTGCTTGCAGCAGATTCAGAGAACACATTGAATGCTGCTACTAGTAGTACCCCCCAGTCCACTACTAGTATCCTTCAATCCTCTGCATCAACTGTTACTGTGGCCCACACAGGTCACCAGCAAGGTGAAGGGTGCTCAGGTGCTGCCATAGTGCCTGTGATCCACAAAGCACACATGAAAATCATTGTAAAGGATGCGAAGGAGTCTGTTATCACTGAAACACTGAATACATGCGGGTTCCATGACCCCTCCAGTCACTTAAGTGTAGCAACTACTGCACTTAGTGATCCATGCTCATCCATCATCATGCAAGGTGAGTACTGAGTTGCTATTTATACAAGATCAATAGTAAATGCTGATACAATAACGATCAGATCACTTAATTAAACTATGGGTCAGCAAAAACATATCTGCACTCTACAAGACCATCATCACACCGATGTCAATGATACTAAACCACTTCAAGAAGTGCATGCAAGACCTTGTTGAGAATCTTTACAAGCTTCAATTGATGATCTGGACTGACCTAATAGTCCAGGTCAATCATAACAAGTTGACTGTCAATTTCCTTACTGGAAACAATAGCATCAACTACGTTTTTGGTGGTCTAGTAAGAGTACATATCTTTTTGCAAGTGCTACCATTCAGAGTATGATACTAATAAGACAGTTAACAGCTTGAGGATGGTCGAGAGGTCCGTTACCCATTCAAGCATGAAGCAGTTATTCAGATCGCAAGCCATGCATGCTTTCATGATGGTTATGACAAGTTCATTCACTTGGACACAAGCCTCAACAATATCATGGCAATGTCCGCAACAGCTGCATGTTGTGGTTTGCTGAAGTTTGCAACTGGTATATTCAAACAAATCAATTTTACCTATGCCAGTTTTCACACTATGTATATGAAACTCATGAAATTCATCTGCAAGAACATTAGGAGCTGTCCGACGATGTTAGCTAGGTGGAACACACTATTTCAACTTCTTCGCGCGGGAGCTCGTTGATTGCTAGATTATCTTGATACGGCTACATAGTTATCTAGACATGATAATCTTGATCAAAACGGCATATCTTGGAAATTTTGTCAGAACCGAGATACACATGTACTTCCACCAATCAGCAGCCTGCGCTACTGAGGTCGTAAGCGTTCGTAAGTGTCCGTAACGCGCGTAAGTTAAGCGTTCATTTCGTCGTTTTGCAGATGAATGTGACGATTTTTTTCCCCATATATGACGCTCTGATACCGCTGAGGTGATGTTTGCTATTCGGTTGGTGGAATACTAATACTAGTGAGCCGTAAATTGATGTTGACCTTTGAGATACAGCATCAAAACCTCCCCTCCTCAAAGTATCGACAATGCACTTAGTACTGCTCTGCATTCTCTACCTCGGTCGAGTGATCCAAGCTGCACCGGCTACCAATTTAACTACCACCGGTGACTGTTCTGAAGCACTGTCATTTGTGGACCGTAGAACCCTGTGGAACATTATCTCCACCTGCATGTTGACTCTCATTGCATGCATATATAGTTCCCTTCACCCCAATATCCCGAGTCCTAAGGACACGTTCGTTCGTATTCTATTGCGACGATTTGGCATCATGGGACTTGCACTACTCGCTCCTGACGGGGTTGTTGCATGGGCTGTGCGCCAATGGCTTTGGGCTCGTCATATTACAGTACAGTTTAAGGAGCACTTCAGTGCCCGTCATCTCCAAGAAGAGCGGTATGAAGGTGAGTCCTGCTCTTGAGCGCATCCTTACATCATTCCTTATGCTTCTTATAAAGAACATGATGGCAACCAGGCTCTCGCCGAGCATACTGAAGTTAAACCATCCGGACCAATGTTTCTTCGGCAGTTCCATACTCTTGCAGAGCCATTCAAGGAGTGGTTTAAGGCACATTTTACAGAGCAACCTGAAGGTAAGATTGACTCGGGCTCTCTCGAACCATATCTAAAACTCCTCACGTGCATCCGTAGATTATACATGGACTCAGACTCACAGCTTCTTTGCGCTGATGGGCGGTTTTATGCTTTATGTGGATGGGGAACCCTACCTGACACTATCGCCCGACCAACTTCTCTTTCTGATACGTGCTGGATCTATCGATGCCCCCGCCCTAACGGCAAGGCAGATCCGCGACCGGAGCAAAGGGAATGCGATATCAAAAGGATCGATCATTATTCAGGGGGCTTGGTTTATCCTGCAACTCCTTTCCCGCGTCATATATCACCTCGAGATCACACATATTGAGGTGGCGACACTTGCTTTTGCCGTTCTCAATTTCATTTCTTATGCTGTATGGTGGAATAAGCCTCTCGATGTACAATGTCCTCATCCAGTTCACTGGAAGTCGGCCGAGTCCAACCCAGAGATAAGCTTTCCTCGGCATGTTTGCGCCTTCATAGTTTTTACCGCTGCTGACTATGTCCCTCATAGTGTCTCTGAAGATGATGATCTCCCGATGCCTCCGGAGATGATTGGTCTGTCACTCGTTGACTCATGTTTGCAGGCCATTGGTGTTGATGCCATGTCTCCTCGAAAGCTACGAGTTCCAACGTTTGATAGCCTCCACAGCATCAAACTACAACCCTGGGAAAGTAATGTTCTCGCGTTCGCTGGACTTGCAGTAGCAACCATCTTTGGCGGCATCAACTGTATTGCTTGGTTTTATGCTTTTCCCACATATCAAGAACAGGTCTTATGGCGCACGAGTGCCATCACTATAACTTGCATACCCTACCTTGTTTTCGTGGTAGCCTTCGTTCTGTTTAGATCGAGAACTAGACAAAGGAGCTCGGTCAGGTTTACAGTGTTTCTAAGGGCATGTTTTGCGTCGTACTTCACAGCACGTATCCTCCTCCTCATACTTATGTTCACTACTTTACGCAATCTTTCTTCTGACGCATACAAGGTGGTGTCTTGGACTAATTTGGTACCCCACTTATAGTTCTTGCTCATGGTACTTGTTAGGTCCTTCGTACTTTTGTGATTATTCACAAATTCGACACACGAGAACTAAATGTTTAACCATGGTCACACATATGCGAGTATTCCCCGCGCATCGTCTCCAGGCCCAGACTCTAGAATGAAGTGACGAAGTTGCATTCGCATCTATCAGGAGGAGCGGCTTCCTTCGTGTATAAAGTTTTGAAGAGCTAGGGCTGTTAACTTATATCTCGATAGAACTTTAACAGCCTTCACTTGTATCTTCAAGCCACGCATGCATAAGCGACCTCCGTGCATAGCCTCCGAGGCCATACAGCACTATCACACTCGGGCGAAGAAGAGTTGCAAATTGCCAACGTAAAGACAATGTCAATCACTTCTCGAGTGAACCCGACGAGTGCAAGCAGTACATGTTAGGACATTCATTCAGGAAGTGCGAGCTTGAGGAGGTCGGCAGTGGCATTGAAAACCAATCGACATCAGCGTTGACACGTCCATAAATAAAAGTGACCGTCACAGAAAAGTAGAACATTCCTCTGTAGTTTACAGGTTTCACTGCATGATATATAGCATACAATCGACATCGTGAAACACCAGTCCACCAAACAAGTAATTGCGATCAAAGCGGAGCACTCAGCACGTATGTTTTTTCTTCAATAAACCCCAGGAAGCAATCTATATTTGACTTTCTTGGCCCAATTCTCCCAATCCTCTCCAAGAGCACGCTGCAGCATCTTGTCCTCCACTGAAGATCGCTTGATGGTACTCAAAGCGCCTGTTGTAAGCAGGAAGAAGACAATCGCTGCTAATACTTTCATGTAAGGCACTTGTAAAATTCCAGACTGCCTTATCCACGACCCTTCGCTCCCGTGCGTGATGACAATTCCGACGTATTGGAGAAGGAAACCAGTGTAGCTTGGGTGGCGGACGATAGAGTACGGACCGCTTGTTACGATTCTGTGCTCTTTTCTGACGCTGAGCGGGAAGCTCCAGAACTTTCCTAAGGTCGACATGCAATAAAGCCTGAGCACGCCGCCGACTATGACAGAAAGACTGCCAGCAAGGAAAACGGGAGTGATTGGCGTGGGGTGAAGTGCGTGTAAAAACTGCGCAGCGCTAGCGCCATAGACGTCCTCTGGAATCTGCGAGGGACCTATATGCATGGCCAGTATGTTGGCCACTTCAACAGATGATACTACCCATATGATGATCTGTTATGCCGATCCATACAGACAAAATCGATATACAAGGAGAAGCACACCTTGAATAATTCTGGACCCCGAAGATCTAGAATCAGGCTATTTAATAATTCGGATGCTGAGGGCACCACTTTCTCTTGAGATGACGGGGGCAGAGAGGGAGAAGTCAATGAGATATGAACTCCAATAGCCGAAGCCACGAGGAAGAGGATCTTCGATATACTCATGCTGTATCGTTGAACCTGCGATAAGATTAAAGAGTTACCTCCTCCATTCTGCAACAAGCTCCCACATTCCTGCTTCGGCAGTAGCGGGTATCAGTGTGGTGCCATGAGATCTGGTCAATTCTATGATATCGTTATTGATGGATGACTTTCCATACACCGGCGGTCGCCTCACAGCTCTAGTAGTATAGGTCTGAGATCTGAGCTGTGATCAAACATATGCATGATAGGTAGTCATTTAAATTTTAGCCACGTGACCTAATATTTTGATCTTGCAATAACAAGTACTTGCTGTATCTTAGACCACGACACACTTGTACCATAGCGCTACCCGCAAGGGACAATTGACACCACATAACCATGTCAGACTGGGGTAAAGACAACAATCTGTTCAATCATATCTCCTACAACGCTCACCACGATCAAGCACAGAATCCGATGATGCTCCTGCTCCTGCTGCGCGATCGATCAAACCCGCAAAGAGTAAATGGGAGGGTGAAGACGAAGAAGAATCATCTCCAGCTGTATGTCGCTACCCTCTCCTCCCTTATTCATCTCACCGATCTTACTAGAGCGACTGGGACGCATCCTCAGACGAATCCTCAGACGACGATAAACCAGCAGCAGCACCCGTAGCACCCCCCAAAAAGAAGGGCACGGTGAAACAAAAGATAGCAGAGAAAGAAGCTGCGAAAGCTGCACGAGGGGACAATGGTGATGTGGAGTATGATGAAGACTCCGTCCTTGATCCGCGCGAGAAGGCGAGGTTGGATAGGGAGCGGGAGATTAAAGCTGATTTGGATAACGCTGCTGTGCTTTTGGGTGCTGCTGGCCTTGGAGGTGAGTTTTAGGCTCGGTGTTGAATTTGGGTTTGGGGTTTGGGTGTTTTGAGCTGATCCCTCTGCGCTTGTGTTTCCAGGCACCTCATCATCTGAGCTAGACGCACTGATCTCGGCCAATCCCCGCACAAAGGAAGATTTCCAGGATTTCTCAACAAGAATAATCGAGTTCATCGTTAAGCGACATCAGACCAAGCCTTTGTACGCGTCATTTGTGGAGCATCACGTCCGAGAGCTTTCTCAGCCTTTGAAGGACGTGGAGATCAGGAAAGCGGCGAGTGGGCTTACGACGCTTGCTAATGAGAAGCAGAAAGAGCAGAGAGACAAGACGAGCGGGAAGAAGAAAGTGAAAGCTGCTGCGAAGCCTGTCCTAGGCTCGGCTAAAGTCGCGAATAAGTGAGTGTATTGTCTCGATCAGCCGTTACGATCGCTGATTGGTTTTAGATTTGATACGGGAGTGTATGATGAGGCGCTGGATGATTTCGGCACCAACCAAGAAGATTTCATGTAGAATAATACCTGTGCATCCACTATATTGCGTCTGAGTAGATTTTTGTCTTTTTAGTATGAGCTGGTATATCAGAGCTCAGTCATCCTCGTCCCCTTCGTCTTCACTCGTTTCGTCATCGTTGACGAGGCCTACTAACCCTCCACCTTCTTTTTCCTTCAGAACGCGCCCGGCTTCGCTGAGCTTCGAAGCGAATGCTCTCCGTGCGCCAGAGTTGGCGCCAACATCCCATATCTGTAGTTTTGCTTTAGAGCCCGCTGCAGCGATCGTAAGGGGATCGTCCGGCGAAAACACCGCTGAAAAGACTTTGCCCTAAAATCGCGAATTAGCACATGACGATGATTGCGATGGCAGAATGAAATGAAGCACTAACCACTTCCATATCTCTCGACGCAACCATGCTCACAGCAGGCTTGCCTCCAGCGGTCTGGTCTACGTTCCACACTTTGACGAGTTTGTCCGTTCCTCCCGTGCATATACAACCCCGCAGCAATGGGCTGACATCAAGAGCCGATACGGCGCCATCATGAGCAGAGAGTGTAAACCGTGCAGGCGAAGGAGATTTCATATCCGTTGGGAGTGCGCGAGCATCAAAGTTGAGCACGAGACCATTTTCTAATGAGACCTAACAGCCCACCAACGATCAGAACATCTGACAACGAATCGAGATTGGCACTCACATAAAACGCATGCGTTTCCCAAGGATCCCATCGTAAAGCCTCGACATCAGCACCAAGCACGGCCCCAACACCCGTATCCGGCGCCCTAGAATCAAACACCCGAACCGTCCTATCATAACTTCCAGATAGAAGCACCGTCGGTTCTTTCTCGTTCCATTGCACAGCTTGGACCTTATCCTTGTGCACCCCAAAGCTCCTTATTGCACCCTCACCATCTACGATCGGACGAGACAAATCCCATAGCTTCACTGTACGATCCGCAGATGCGCTCGCTAGCATATGTCGATGGGTGCGGTTCCATGAGAGTCCGAGGACAGCGTCAACGTGGTATGTGTCCGATGAAGGACGGTGTTTTGTCTTTTTGCGCTTCTTTTTACCTGTGCCCGCTGGGACGGGTACGTGTGCGGCTGTTTTATCAGGTCTGCCGAGGATCATGTCGGGGTACATGCTTTCCATGACGTCTAGTGACCATATTTCGATTTCAGGATCGAGCGTACCAACTGCGATGTAGTTTCCGAATTTTGGTGGGGTATCGGTTTGCATTTCTGAGGATGCGGGTGGGAAGTCTAGCCATTCGAGGCAGAGGGGGAAGTTGGGGAGCATGAGGTCGTGGTGGACATAGAGGTTGTCTTGGGATTCATCGTAGACGTAGATCTCGAGTTGGGAGACATCATCTTCGGTTTTTGCGGTGACTAGGAGGTTATCTGTTGGGAGGACCTCGAGTTCTGAACGCTCATCATCTTCAGCATCCTGTATGGTGTTAGATGCAAATAAAAGAGAGGCAAAGCAACCGCACGTCTTTCAGTGTGATGTATGGATCGTCCCGGTTATCTCTATAAAACGTAAGTCCTTTAATATTGCTGAATGGACCCATGCCTGCGAAACATCAGCATCAACGAGTAAGCCGTGTCCACATACATACCATCTTCTTTAACATCATCCTCGTCATACTCATCCAACTTATACTGTGCAAGATCATCCCCTTTGTAGGTGAGTCAACCTGTACAGCCCCATCCACCTCCATTGATACATCCTCCTCGCTTTACAACCCCATCAGCAAACATCACAAAGAGCAAAAACAAAATCACGTACTCGACCCATGCATCCTCATCACCATCCCCATCCGCATCATCCGCCTCAGCACCTTCTGCCCCCTTACCCATACCCTTAGCAGCATTGTGCGCGCGCTCGATCTCTATCCGCGCATCCTCAAGCTCGATACGTGCGAGTGCACTGACGCGCTCGAGTTCCTTTTCATCAAGGACGTATTTGGAAGGCTGGTGGGCTGAAACGCCGCGTTTTACCCTGGAATTTTGGTCAGATATGTGGAGTATGCAGGACGGGAATTAGTTACCATGATACACAGGAGATGAGGTTGCTCATCGTTTGTGATGATGAGCAGCGAATCTAATTTTTTGTGATCTTAGTCACGTGATATTTAAACTTGGTCGCAGAGATTAAGCTCAAGCTTAAGGTTCAACGTGCCCTTTACCAGTTCAAGTTGTGGCGACTGAATACTCAACGCTGCAATTTGAACTTGTTTATGGTACGCTGAAATTGAAGTTCGAATTCAAGCTTCTTTCTGTCACGATTCTGTTCAGCTATCTCTGCCAGTAATCGCAATCGAAACCGTCAACGGTTAACCTCGTCGGACGAGTTACGATTTCGAAGCCTAGTAAGTAGGCGGATCATTATAGAATTGTCTCAGAGTTCTGGATTACCTTTAGGCTTTCATTAAGCTGTGAATTCATTGGAAGTGCTGGAGCGAGATTGACGTTCAAGCTAAGTGCCAGCGGATCTGTTTTTCAGTGATTTTCTTGGACGTCTATTTAGATGAGGCTGTGCCTGAGTACTATGCTGTCAAGAGTGACCAGCCTGGACGAGCACTTGGACGCCACCGCCACCGCCACCACTACCACGACGTTTGGAATCGATTAAATCATTCTACTAGTCGATCTCAAGTGACAAGCAACTCTTACACTCCTGATCACTTCACTGCCCAGCTGATTACAGCAGAAACACATTGTTTCACGTTTGAATCTTTTCCCGCCCCAATTCAATTTGAGTTCGACAGGCTCAAGAAATATCTCAGCCAAGTATCTGAAGCTGTTAGCGTAGTACTCGTGATTCTTTTCAGCAACTTTTCAGCCCACAATCTCCCGTAGTCAGACCGACATCACGTGGTTTCATCGGCCGTGAAGCTTGTGGTTTTATTTATATATTTCAACCCCCCGCTTCGTCCTCCACGTCAATTTTCCTACCGCAGATGGTTCACCTGGGTCTTTTGTACCAGTGATAGTTCTATACCATGCCGTGAACCATTTGGTCGTGGAGTACCTCGACGGTCGGGCGTTAGACAGTTGTTGGAATAGTATTACACTCTTCTCCAAGCTTCATATTGCTTGGACCCTGCGCAGTTACGTTGCTCAGCTTCGTTGTTTGCGGAGAACTGTTCCAGGGACTCTAGATGGCTCGTTGTGCACGGTACCACTCTTCGCCGATTATGGCGGCGGCCCATTCATATCTTACGACGATTTGACGACATGGTTTAATCACAAGCTCGACGTATCTCAGCGGATGAAGAAAGCGCCTCTCGATACTCCCCCGGTGGTCTTCACACATCAGGACTTGTGTCCCAGGAACATTTTGTTGGGGCGCGACGGCAAACTGTATTTGCTGGATTGGCATAGATCTGGGTTTTTCCCCGCTTGGTTTGAGTACGCCGCCATGGTCTCTAACCAACACTTCGAATCACTATTATGGGATATTCTGGTTCCTTGGGTCTCACACATTAATTCTAGTGAGTCGTTTTCCGTCACAGAGTCATCGTAAGACTAAATTGCTACCATGAGTGAACATAAGTAGAACGGCCCGGTACTGTCCTTTCTTAAGTACTTCTGGTTACAGATGGTGGTTCGGTGACGAGGGTGTCTGTAGCCAAGGATGTCGAGCAAGAATGTCGAGCTCGGAACGCTGATCATATGCGCGTCGTGTTCGGTGCTCTGTGATCACGGCACTGGGGGTTGAGATGCATGTCAATAGAGGATAGGACAAAATGTATCTGTAGTGACGTGGAATCGATCTTTTGATATTGCTGAGTACTACTCAGTGTACCTATACCTATAATTTCGGGAACAACTAAAGAGCGTTCTAGTCTGTATAAGCATCCTCATTTTCATGCATAGTCATTTCCTGCGTCATGAGCTTCCACACCAGCTTATTGAAAACAAGAATGGTTGAGTAAGACCAACTATGTCTACAGCACAATATAACTACGGGCCATACAATCAGTTCCACTTGGCTTGAGCATACAGACCCAGTACATCGCTAGTCAGCATTGGACTATACAATGAGACATCATCCATGGTGTATTTCTTATTCTTCTGTAACCTATTGAGGATGGGGATTATCTCTTCTCCAAGGTAGTTGAGGAAGACGACGTCTACAGGCGTGTCGGCCGTCACGTTAGGGGGGTTCGAGCCAATGTAATATGGAGCCGGGTAGTAGGGCAACGCCGTGTGCAGTGTGTCGTCTGCATGACCAGCGTTGGGACATGACTACGCAAGTGTTGTGAGCATAGCACAAGCATGGCATGGAACCCTTACATCTTTCGTGACATATCCGAATGTCCATTTGTCTGATGTTGCTTCTCGTCTATCCACTCCAGGACGGTCGTCTATTTCCTCCAACCAGGCACCGTCCCGAGTTTTACGGCTCAATTCATCTTCGGTTTCATCTCGTTTCTGTTTCATTGCCGGCGGGTTATTCAAAGCGGGGAGTATCTGGCTTGCTATGCCAGATGCGACATTGGCGATATACAAGAATGTATCCTTATACTGCATAACTGTTAGCTGGTCGTTCCTGGTGAACGATCCCTTGAAGAGGTCGGAGCGTAGAGCCCACGAATTAATGATAATTATGTTTGGAATGGAATCACGGGTGTTGTTAATAGCGAGTGCGTATGGGACAGCCTAATAAGCTCATCAATACCTGAACAATTCCCTTCACTGGCGCTTACATGGTCAATGAAGAGAGACAGAAGAGACCCATTGGAAGGATAAGGGTTCCTAGTGCACGGTGATTGAGCTTGCAGTTTGGGCAATAATAATACATAACAGGCACCCACTGGGATAAGGTATAGTCTTGGGGAGCTGTTCCGTACAGGTAGGACAAGTCATAACGGGCCGCAAGCTCTTGCAGGCCATACGTGATAGATCGCCCGTTAATGGTGTCAAATGCATATTTTGAGGTATGGGTGTGGTACTAAGTAAGAGTCACGGGCAGGATTAGGCCAGTAGTAGGAAATCGAGAGCTTGGTACATTACCTCGTAGGTCACACGGTTCTGGTCAAGATATCGCCTTGTGAAAGTGATATTGTCGTGTTTGCCCTTGGCGGCATCGAGGTCCGCACCTAATTTTCTCGCGTTAGGTGTCTGAGGTACATTAGTGCTACAGCAACGCACTCATCCAGCCTAGAAGATCATGTCAGACAATACCCCTTACTCATCTTTGAAGTTTACACACCTATTGTCTCCATATAGCGTCCGCTTTCGATACCCATAGAACGACCATCGTACTGTTGACAGTCACGAATGTGGGTGTGTCCTAAGTAGGCGGTGAGAATTTTATTCGAAACAAACAAGATGTCAGTCTCTACCTCCGAATATTAGAATGGGGGTCAGAGGGTGTACAGCCCGCACAGCGTTGAAGACAGTAGGCCCTAGATGACCAAGTTGTTAGATCATCATCTGATAAACTTCACGATTGCCCTACAACTATCATACGAGACCGGCATGTGTCTGCGGTCATGTCAATGCAATGCTTCCTTCAGCAGTAATGTATTCAGCCTACCCAATCAGTACGAACGCGTCAGGCTCTTCTGCAATGGCCTCAACGAACTGCAAACAGAGATCAGAAGACTGGGTTTCCATTACTCGAATGCCTAGAATGACGTACCCACTGCTCATTGACCATATCATGAACGGTTTGGACAGTCGTGTTTGCAACATTCCCAGTGAAATTGAATATGACTCCAAGAGAAGTGATGCGACGACCTCTGCCGTATTAAATGAACGACAGCCAATCCCTAAATCCACAAGTCCGCTTACTTCCTTGTGGTGAACTTGGCGTAACGGTCTGCGGGAAAACCATTGGCAGCGGCAAAGACTATTTTGAATTTACACTCACTGCCCACTGGAACACTTTCAGACTTGCCATCTGAGTCGAAAATAGTGATGTTGACATTAGACGTCAAGTATCGCCCACCGAGATGGGGAATGAAGTTTGTGTACCTGCAGAGCATTCATCCGCCGAGCGAGTTTTGAACAATGGTGACCATAGGTGGTATCAGTGTTACAAGCATATCAGTTGAGTGGGAGTTGATACAGTCCCAAAAAGCCGCACCATGTATTACGGAAGGTGTCAACAGGTCAGCAAAGGCGGGGCGGAAATAGCAGGACACACCACATCATCAGACCAAAACAAACGTGACAAAGGAAGAGATCAGCAAATGTCGTGTCAGTTGAATGAAGATTCGTTCAGAATGCTAATGACGCACATATCATACGTATCCGCATAGACATACAATTCGTGGCTATGAAAGGGAGATTAAGGAAGCAAATTAGGAAAGGACTACAAACTCAGCACCCACTTTCCGATGGTCATGAGATCGTAGGGGAGACGCCCGACGAACTTGTTTGACTATGAACAGCATGCGACATGTCAGTATTGGTTATAGTACATCATCCATGCACAGAACAGACCTCGTGTGCGTCGACACCACCGTGATAGCCATCAGAAAGGCCAGTTCCTAGAAGACCCGAGTTGGAATGTGTCTCAGACAGTGGGTGATTACACATACCGTCATGTAGATCACCTGAGTCTATCAAAAGAAGATCGACATCCTTTTCCTGCAATAGGAATTATACGCAATGAATGCACGAGTTCAGACTGATGGACGAACAATGGCGATTCGCTTCATGTGAGTCACAAAGCTAGAAAAGTCTCCGAGATCCCCACTACAGTTCGCACGAGGTAACGGTTGAGTGACGGTAGTTCGAGGTAGTTCCGCTGTGAACACTAACCTATAGTATGGTTCCGCCCAGGACAACTTCTGGTGCCCAAGTAGCCAACCATGCGTATCGGTGGTGTGGATTATGTTCAAGTCTCCCCAGATAAGAGGACGATGTGGAGGTCTGAGTGGAACCCGCGGCTGCTCACGTATTCCCATATATTCCTGAACATGGTCGTCGCGAGCGTATAAGTGGTCGCCCGCGCAAGCAGCACCACAGAGTGCAAGACCCAGGAGAGTAGCGGCAGCCAAAATCATACTGGAGGCTCCTTGAACTTGAAGCTGAGTCGATCACAAAGCTTTGCAAACCTTCCTTGCCTTTATGCTCGGAACTGACCTCGGATATGAATGGTGTCCAGACCAAGTCCAGACATTATCTTTCTTGAGAGTTTGACACCAAACCGGTTAGCTGCGGGTGTATCATGGATATCAAAAAGATAATTATAACATGCCCGGGTATGTCATATGCCATGATGGTATTCAGCGTTTAAAAACGTTTAATTCTCGTCCGCGCAAACTACTGCCAGAAGGAAAAGGAAATTTGCAGAGAAACACCTTGCAAGGACCTCGAAAGTGTAGCATTGAAATGAATCTACCGTCCTTGTTACTTGTCGAATAATTTCGATTCCCTGGAATTCCATCACTTCAAGGTACGATCGATATCGATATCCGCCGTTCAAACTGCGTGTACAGTCATTTAATATTGAATCATTAATCATCCCACAAGACCATTCATGCTCTACAATATGCATTCGAAGCACCTTCGCTACAAAATAACATCCATATTGGTCACATATTTCGAGAAGCCCATCCCAGTCCCAGATACTCGCACCAGTTTCGCCGCAGAGGTCAGCTAGGAGGCCAGTTTCATATGCCGAGTCTGTTCATCACAATCATATTATCCTGTACTTGTCCGAGGAGGGGACAGGTGGACACGCGTCGGCGTCAACAATGACTCATTGATCCTCGAGTAGTAGCAGTACCTTGAGCAGATACTTTGTATTGATTAGTCGTGTGTCGAATTGTATCCCAACTGAGCTCCAACTCACAAGTGCGATGTCAATCGACAAGTCGAATAAATGGTCGCGGGTTTACTGAGGTAGTACCGACCAACCACGGAGTTGTCAACAATCAGGCCAGACTGAGACGTGGGATCCAAGATTCAGATGGACTTGGAGTGGAGACCAGAGCGTGATGGCAACGGCGTGTTTGTGATTCGAACGGTATGAACAGCGGGCGCTTGGATAAATTAGAATTTGGATTACACGAAGGGAGGTAAGTATTTTGAACTGACTCTTGGATAGTCAGACTCGGAGGAGTGAGCAGCGAGCGCAGTGTTGGGAGGCAAGACATTGCATGAACAAACGGCGTCAGCAAAAGAATATTAATGTTAACTGTTAGAACAGCATGAGTAACGAAGATCGGGTTCCCGGGGGTCTTGCTCTTCTGGGGACCGAGAATCTTCGAGTATAACATGTCCAGCTGATCACTCTGATATCGGAATTTTTACATTGCTGCTCACATGTCGACGACTCGACATATGAGCCATTTCAAACGACGCAGTTGGAACCGAGAAATTTTGAGGGGACTCGTGACACATCCTGTGCGGTCCCAAAGGTTGCCGGTGGATTGAACGTGTTGATGAAAGATGATTCCTTTGACCCCTCCATATCCGTTTCCATAGAAGTTCTGGTGATTCCATGTGCAAGCCGAACAAGCCACCGTCTTTGGGCCTCACAAGTGCTATGTCGACATCAGCCTG